TTTTGCCTTATTACGTTTTGCCCAAGACAAAACGTAATAGATGTAATGTAAAAGATTTGTAAAGCTGCTAATAGAAAATTATCTTGAGCGGTCCAGTTCAACAGCCAAACATTTATACTAGGGTCTTTGTGTTTGTATGAAACTGAGTTTAATCTTTAAGTCGTTGATTCTCCAGGTTGGCTCTGTATGTTTCGGAGGTATTTTTGGCTTCAGAATGGCGTGTTTGATAAGATTTGATAACAATAATTAAAACTTCTCAACGTTTGACACTGTCTAGCAAAATATGTTTACATCAGGCTACATGGCTGCTACATTGATGAGCTGCTCTGTGCTGTTGTTGGGGATTTGTTGTTTGCTGCTGAGCAAAATCATTTTGTGTCTAAAACAAACATTATTTGTACATCAATTTCTAAGTTATGTGAAAATTATTTGAAGGTTCAGAATCAGTCCAGTATCAATCCACTTTCTCAAGGGAGAAAAACTCACCTGGTATAAATAACATTTTAAGCTATTGGAGTAACGCTTAAGAAAAATTACGTTAATCATAGAATGTCATGAATATGTCTGTAGGGCAGCATGACTGCAGTTTTCTGGCCAATCCCTGGCTTTCGATCATCAAGAACACATATGTCAAAGTCAAGGCCCGCGGGCCGGATTCATTATCTGTGGCCCCAGGATGATATTTAGTTACTATTAGAACCGGGCCGGAAGCCACAACCGCCCACTGGCATTTTACACTCACCAGCACTACATTCCCCACAATGCAATGGTAGCCTGCCAAGTCACTGAAGCACAAGCAGCTTCATTGTTCATCAACAATCAGAGCAGACATAGGCTTTCAGGTAACTAGTAACAAGTAACTAAGTCTAGGAAGGTACTATCAAACTTCTCAGAAACACACAAAGACAAGAATATGAACATCATAGAGCAGCACAATCATGCATGTTCAGTTTATATTGCATGCACTTTCATTTCTGTATTTATCTTGATATTAAGAAACATATTTAGTTTTTCAAAACAATTAATTTTTTTGTCTGTTTGCATGTGGAAAATGTTTTCCGTTGATGTAATTACTGACAGAGCCATAACAAAATATTGTTTTATTCATTTAAATATTAAATAATATACACTTTGTTGGGTCTTGGTTCAATAGTCTATGTACAATCATTTCAATATATTTTAATAAACGTTGAACCAGTCTGGCCCTCGGCTTGTAGCAAATTAGTTTTTTTTGTCCCTCGGTGAATTTGACTTTGACATCCCTGATCAAGAAGGTCGATGAGTTGGCAACAGTGGGGTGAATGTTGTTAACTGTAAATGTGCAGACCTAACCTGGTGGGCTGGTCTGTCAGTCACATCTCTGACTGTAGTGCAGAAGAGGACAGAGGCTGACAAAGATAAGATTAGGGGATAAGATGAGCTTCACGTCTAAGCATCAGCAGATCACAATCCCCCGAAATTAGTAAATCAGTTGGCCAATAAATGTATCCTACATTATACATGTATATAATGTAAACAGTAGTGCCAGAGATGCAATAAGTTTATAGCAGGTGTGTGAATGATCTAATGATCGTAGTGCTGATTACAGCCAGTCCACATTGTTAGCAAAACTAAAGGGCCCCAAAACCAAATTTTGCTAAGGAGACTTGGGTCGACCCTGCCCAAGATCACGGTCCTGCTGAAAAATAAATATACTAGGTGTGTTAAATTTGAATATACTTAAGAATACTTTAACTCAGACTAATCATGAGTATATTTCAAGTTCACTAAGAGTTAGTTATCTTAAAGTGGGACATTTTGGAACAACTAATTTTGTGCTTAATGTATTTTAATAGTATTTAAATAGTAGTAAAGCACAATTTAAAGTGCACTAAGTGTATTTTCACGTACTTTTTTTGAACAACTTAAGTTACACTTAGTATACTTTACGTATATTGCTTTTTATGTAATATAAAAGTGCATGATTAGTATATTTTGAGTGTACTATTTTTGTGATTGAATTACATTTAAAATATACATAGAATGTATTTTAAGAATATTGGCGTTATATTTCATCTGTTAGTAGAGTGATTACACATTTGGTCTACTAACATTTCTAATGAAGTACACTTTTAGTTACTTTATGTCTTGTTATTCTTTGTCACTTTTTACAGTTTGTACAATTCTGTGATAAGATATTGACAAATACAGAAGAAAAAAAACAAAAAACACAAAACAAAAAAAACAAGAAAAAAACCAAGAGGTCAAATCCAATTCTAAACAGGTGTGTTTTTAGTTGAGATTTAAAGGAAGTCAGTGTTTCTGCTGTTTTAAAGTTTTATGGAAATTTGTTCCAAATTTTTGGTGCATAGATGCTGAAAGCTGCTTCTCCTTGTTTGGTTCTGGTTCTGGGGATGCAGAGCAGAACCAGAACCAGAACTGTACATTTTCAGTATGTCGTGTAAACTTTGGAGGTGACTGTGATATGCCTTGGTTTTAGAATAGTGGCAGACTGATAGAAGATGAGACAGGAGGAAAATAGTCTGATAGAACTCAATGAAGAAGACCAGAGGAAAATGGAAAAACTGCCAGAGCTGAATAACATATTATTTATTGGGGTCTTATATCTTGAATTTTAAGTGTCTCTTTACTATTCCTGTGGTTTTTTTCAGTTTTTCCCATCATATTTTCTGCTCTTATTCTATCCAGATCTCTATGCCTGATCACTGTGGCTCTTCAGATGGAGGAGGGCTTGCAGATCCTGAGATGAGCTCAAGTTAGTGGACTGACTCATTGCAAACAAACAAAATGTCTTTACATATCCACTACATGACTTTACACATACACCTCATGTATTTCAGGACACCCATTTGTCCATTCATGCACAACATTCACATGTGGACAAAGTTGTCTATAACTTGTGTTAATAACTGAAAATGAACTTGTAAAAATCCGAAATGTTTTGAATTGCGTTACAACTGAATTCGAAAATGACAGGCCAGGATGTTAAAACAGCTTGATGCATCTGCAACTACAGTTGCACATATTCTTCTGAAATTTAAGGTCCACAGGAGTGTAGCCATTCTTTCTGTGGTTGCGGCCACAGAAAGAAAATTTTAGGACAAATTTAAGAGAATTATGATCTGAATGATGACCAAAAAGTCCAGAATAACCTCCACGGAAAGTAAAGGTCTAGGAGGACTTCATGTAAGATGACCAAGGAGGAAAACAAGTCATAAAAAGGTACATCTGCTCTATGGTCACAGACACAAAAATGCTAATAAGCTTCTATGATCATTTTAATTGAACCACAATTTAAAGCAGTATCTGACTTTCATCAACTCGTCAGTAAACAATTTTTTGTCAGTTTTAAGTTACTTCAGTTACCATTGTAGGCATTTGTTTTGTCATTTTTGTTTTTTTCTTCGAAGAGTTTTTGCAACGCTGGTGGCTCGTATTTTCGACAGTAGGCAGACAGGAAAGAGGGCGAGGAGAGGAGGGAATACATGCAGCAAGGGTCGCTGGGACTGGGAGTCGAACCTGCGATGTCCGCATCGAGCACTGAGGCCTCCAAACATGGCGTGTTTGGAGGCACGCCCCATGGGGGCGCCACCACAGCACGCCCCCATTGTAGGCTTTTTGGTCATGAACAGAGGGCTACCAACTATGTCGGTCATATGTATGCATGCTCACTTACAAAGTATGTACAGAATTTCCCCATATATTTCCAATTTTAGTTCTCTATTTTTAACAGCTATTATTATTATTACTGTTAGAAAACAACAGTTTGGAGAGACACATTCTTGCTTTTATATTGGATTTTTAATGTTTAAATACTAATAAATTTGTAAACTGTAACTGCCCCAGTTTCTTCCTTTTCTTTTTTTTGGATACATTTTTATCGCTGAGCTAAAAATGTCCCCTGATTTAGTCTCGGAAATATTGTCAACTTATCTTAAGACATAAAACTCTCGGTCTAAAAATCAGTGCCTCTCTGGCAAGAGTGGGACTGAGTAAAAACCTGCTAATTCGGAGATGTGTCAGGACTCTGAGTTTTTGATTCTCATTTTATTTAGCCTCATATTTTAGTTCACTTTAGTTCAACCCTTCATGGTCCTTTTCATATTATTACTATTGAAGTTATTTAGTCAAATAAGAATTGTCTTATTGCCTTCCTTGTTTTTCAGTCCTTTATAGTGGTTCTAGGTTTATTCTTTAGTTACCTTAGGTTCTGTCCTTGTTTGTCTGAGTCCATGTCAAGGATTCTTTTATGACTATAGTTTGATTCTATTTGATCCTTCTAATTATTTCTTATTCCAGCCTCCCTGCAGTGTTTCTGGTAATGTTCAGTTGTTCTTCCATGTCCGGGTTTATGTATATCTTCCTTTACTAATTCTAGTTAGGTTATTTCTTTGTATAGATCTTCTAGTTTCTTAATCTCTATGTTCTTATTGTTCGATCAGCCTAGTTTCAATTTTGGTTCAGTTATGGTTTCCCTCAGCTCTTTCTCTCCTATTTCATCAGGTTTTCTGTACCCTTCGTGTCTTTTGTATTAGTAGTATTTTTCAGTTCCCTGTATCCTCCCTTTTGTGTTCCCCGGTGCCATCTTCTCCCGCCCCTCAGCTAGCTTACTCACAACTCCAATCACTCTTCTCATTTAGCAAGGCCATTATTCCATTTACTATCTCCCAGTATTTAAGCTCCTCTATCCCAGTCACAACTCGCCTGTCCGTCTCGTCACCCTGATTAACACTACCCATGTTTCCCTCCCTGGATTACTTGTTGTTCCCTCATGTTTCCAGTTTGTTTTGTTTTTGGTTCTCTGATTTACTTGTACCCTTGGATTTTTGGATTTTAGTTGGTTTATTTTCTTCATTAAAACATTGAGTTATTTCTACGCCTACTGCCTGTTGGCTTTGGATCCACCGCCACACCACAACATGACAAGATGAAAAAAAATGGTTTCATGATATGATCTGTTTTAATGATGGATGGTTTGCTGGAAATGAGAGCTGCCTCACCTTCCTCTTTTTGCTCCTCCCTTCAGCCTGTAGGGTCCTGGTACACTGTTCCACACACTGAGAGAAGCTCACACTGCTGTGATCTGGACTGTAGTCAAGCTCAGCTAAGTGAGCCAAAGACAGAATGTAGTTGCAAGCAATACGTAATATAGCAAGCTTAGAAAGTTTCTGTCCATAGGAGTAGCATGGCACCTAGAGAAAACCAGAGACAAAAGTTAAGTAAGCTCTGGAAGCAGAAGGCAATAAACATACCTCAAATCTCTATAATAAAAAAATATATATTTTTAAGTTCTTTTAAGGAAAACTAAAGATGCATAAAACCTCTGCATCTGTAATCAGATAAAAACACAAGAACATTTCAAGTGTGTTATTTATTTAACCCCTTCACCAGCAGAACCAAAATCACCAAAAACATCTGAAAAGGTATACCCAAATTCAACCAGCTGTTGTACTTGGAACAATTTGGCGTACATGCAAAAGCTTGGTCTCATTATGAAGATCCATCCATTCAGTTTCTTACTACGTTAGCTGGAGATAGCAGTGGCTATCTCCAGCTAACGTTCCGGCCGAGAGGCGGGGTACAGCCTGGACAGGTCACCACACTGTGACCTGTCCAGGTCACAGTGTGGTGACCTGTTAAAGGATGTCATCCTTTAAGAGGATGACAAGCTATATTTTTTATTCTAGTGAAAAAATACTTTAACTGCATGTAGTTTGTAGCTATTACGTTTGTAACACAAAAGAAATTGAAAAATTTTGTTTCACCCAGATTTTTTATTTGTATTTCTTGTAAATGCACAGTGAGTGTTGAATGTATGCACTGGAAAATACAATAAATCTATAGAATATATTCTGCTCATGGATATCAAGACTGATCAAAATAGCACAAAAAGAAATGTCATTTTGGACATGTTTATTTCTAAGGCGTGCAGGTATTGTCCAAGTGTCCAAGTATTGTCCAAGTGTCCCATTTGGAGTCTCCAAATGGAGACTCCAAATGGGACACTTGAACAACATCTGATATACAAACTTCAAATGACTGTAACTCCTCAGTGCTTCAATATACAGTCATCAATGAGGCTCTAATGAAAGATAATGACCAGAGGAATCCTGAAGTAGACACAAGATCCCTGATAGTGGAAATTACTTATAATCATATAAATAAAATATATCTGTCAAATTTTGGATTTGAGAATACGAGAAACTTTTAGCAGGTTGCCGCCACCGTCAGAGCGGGCAGGGACTGAAAGAGAGGTGGTTAGTGTACAGTCAAACCTCCTCCCCCCTCTTGCGATATGCTACACCCCCTGCACTCGAGCTATACGGTAATCCCTTATCTTTTACCCCCCTGCCCCCCACCTTGTCCCCCTGCACCTTTCCCGGCACGGTACACTAACACCCCCGTTCCTCCCACCCATGCACACCCCCTATGCTAGCTCTGACATTACGCTAACACCCCCCACCCCCAATTCCTGCAACCATGGACACTCTTACGGTAAACTTGTACACTCTACCCACCTCGCTCTGACTGTAGCAGCAAATGACTAAAAGCTTCTGGTATTCTCAAATCCAAAACTTGTCAACACTGTTACGACCATAATAATCCACTCCTGTGAGTTGTGAAGTTCTGTTGAAGAAATGCATCAAGTTTCGACAAGTTCTGACAACGTGTCTCTCTGTTGGTGAGAAAAAGTCCTGTAAACACCGTTGCGCATGAGGATGCACAGAGCCTGACTTTGATGCAGCAAAGGCACATTATGAGTGATGGCGCATGCAGCGGATGGATTTATGTCAAAACAAACCTTAAAATGCCTTTCATCCTTATGACAGGACACGTGTTGGCTATACATCTTTGGCTTTAGATTTAGTCTCCGAGTTGACCAGTCAGAAATATTCCAGAAAGAACACAAGCATGTCAAAATGAGCTAAAGTCACTCTCTGGATATTATTGACTTGGGGAAAGCCATTTCATAGCATTATTGTTTGAATAATGAGTCTATCAAGAGGGGGGCTGCTTCATAATGGACACAGGCAGAGTTTAAAGAGGAGAAAAATGTAGAGAATTCAGACAAACTAGATTTAACCCCTGGATGGGACACTGCCAGTTAAGTGGTTAAATGTATTCATATTTTTCTTTAGCCCCTCAACTTTCAGCCAGCAGTGGCAGAGGACCAACCTGAGTCTGGCTCTGGTATCACTTGTTGCCTGTACACAAAGTTTTAATTCTTTATTGCTTGGATAGCAACAGAAATAATTTAAGTCAACCTTACCTCCGTGTAGTAATCTTTACCAAAATGTATTGTGTGCATTGTGGTATTTAAAAGCAAATTTGTTGTTAAATACCTTCAGACCTTCACTGAATTTTGCTGCTCAATGTAATTCTTAGATGTATCAAATCTTATACAACTTCCATATATGTTTCCATATTTGTATATGCACTTTAAAACCAGATAAATATATTTCTTATTTTATATTAATATTAAATGTACAACTGATTCCATACAGTTACAAATGAGATATAGGTAGAATTTGTACAACTATTTGAATTAAAGATATATATATATATATATAAAAAGAGTAAAACCTGTTTTCTTAGTGCCTCAAATGCAGCACTGATGGTGTGAACACGAGTCCTCTCCCTGGCATTGGCCAGTAGCCTTCTAGTCTGTTGGATAGCTTTGACCTCTGGAAGACGTGCCCGTGTGTCAGCATCAACTCCGACCTTCTTCCTTGGAGATTCCTAAGGACAGAAGATCAAAACGGGTGATCTAAACAAAGGCAGAACTTTCACTCAGGTCAGAAGTCTGGTTTTAAAACAGCTTCATAATAATTTTAGTGTCAGGGTTTCCATACCAGAAAACTAAAACTGTCTGTAGGTTGCAAGCAATACAAACAGCAAAAATGTGCATCAAAAATTAAAACAATTTCTATACAGTTTGTTGGAGATTTTATGTGAAAGATTAACACAAAGTAGCACTTATTTGTGAAGGAATCGCTTCAAACTTCTGAAAACATAACAAACACCTCGATTTATCCTGGAATCAGATTACAGTCAGGTGTCGAGCAGTTGCTGAATAGGTAACTAATAAAAGCAATATGAGGCAATAATATTTTGTCACCTCTCTTAGATTTGCTATGTGTAAAAACCAAAACCAATGTGACACTGGAGCAAATGGTTGAATCACCTGCTCAGAGTGCCTGGCTTCTGGTACACAGTCAACATCTTCAGAGTCTATGCTAATGACTTTATGTGACTCAGGTGTGTTGAAGCAGAGGGATATCTAAATCCTTGATTGGAGTTGAATACCTTGTTCTGCCCTTTGTATTGGTTATTTTTATTTTTATTTTTTATGACATAAAATTTCAGTAAACTCCTGACTCCACTCAGGACAAGGGTGAACTTAAAATGGATGGATGGATGAAATTTCAGTAAAATAGAAAGGAGTGGTAAGGCGATGAAACATGAAAATTCAATGAGTATAACTTTCACACATGACAACAACATGTTTCTTTGAATAAGTAATAATTTTGTCTAAAAGATAACAGAATATTCTTAGGAATATTAATAAATGATATTAAGTGGTATAAAAACAAGCAGCACATCATTGCAATATTAACATGACACAAAGTATGCATTTTTAACAGTGTTTTGTGGATTTGGTATAATGAATTACCTTCTGTTCAGAGACTTGAGTTTTGACATGGTCGAAGCACTCGGAGGCTCTGGGTGCTGTTGCAGGCTGGCCAGGCAGTGAGGACTCCCAACACAATGCCTGCTGGCTGGGAGAAATGGTGCCACTGGTTGGTGCTGGCACAGGTAAGGTGGAGTGCAGACCAAGCTTCAGTCTGTTGTTCAAGGGCTGAGAGATGGAAATTGGCCAGTGGGATATTTCATGATAGGACAGAGGAGAGGCAGGTGACTGGGACACTTTAGTAGACACTAGTGGTATGTTAATGCCAACTCTCATATCTATGGCGCCGCTCTGGCCTGGTGCTGGACTGTCTTCTTGTCTTGCAGACAGAATGTCACTGCTATTGGCTATAATGTCATGTGACCCCATCAGTGGTCTCTGGAGAGGAGCCGGTTTGCTGAAGTTAACCATTTGGTCATCTACAAAGTCTATTCCTGACATGTCCACTGGGAATCTGCTCATGTTTTCAGTTTCAATACCAGTACAAAGTCTTTTAGGCTCACGGGACTTTCTCTTAAATTTCTTGTTTGTACCTGGGACAGAGATCACAACTGACTCTTTGTTTGTGTTGTTCAAATAATTATTCAGTAAAAGAGATTTTTTCATTTTGCAACAATTTGTATATCTAACAAGTTAAAGCAAAATTAATTTCAGACACAATTCTATTAAAACAATAAAGTTGCACATTTAAATTAAAATAAAATATTTCATTTCTAGACACCATAGAAGGTTTGGCATTCAGTACATTTTTCTCATGAAAGCATATGCTTCTTTATTTGAAGAAATATGGGTGGTAATGTTGGTGTATGCTTAAACACAAAGCAAACTACAAGCAGAAGATTCAAATGCTGCCTCACACATTCTGTTTAGCTGCATAACAGGATGTGCTCTGTCATGGCTGTTACCAGCAGCTTTTATAAGGCTCCTCTCTGTCTGTAAAACAGCATCCTGAAAAATCAACACTAATACACCAAGCTGTGTAACATACGCTATCTATCCTACACAACTACACAAATTGCAGAGGTTCTCCTTTGCTTCAAAGATTTCTTTGAGTGTGAGCAGCCCAGGCCTAACCCTCAGACTGGGGTTCAATGTGGCTCCAGTCTGTCTGCATAGCAACACTGTGAATAACCCGCACTAACGCACACACAGAATGGAGATATGCAGTAGTGCAACTGTGGGACAAAACATACCAGAGCAGCTGAAACGGATTTTACAACACACGTCTGTTAGAAGTGCATTTCTAGAGAGGCCAGAAACATTACTTCTCGTTAAAAAGAAAATGTTTTTAAAGCGGCCAAACCAAACCAAACTGGGTTTTAACCTGCGAATTCTAGAAACGAAAGCGTTTTCTAAAAAGAAACAATCATTACCAAGTCTCACGATTATAGGATTATAGGAGGGAAATCTAAAAATCTCCTAGATTTCTTTCCGAGCGATGTCTTACTGAAGTTCTGTTCCCCTTGCTACAAATAAGTTCACCGCAAGCCACGCACTCTGATGAAAAGATCGGACCAAAATGAGATTTCCACAGTCACTTGGTTAAGCGATGTCCTTAAAGCATCAGTCAATCCGGATCTTGATTCGTTGTGGAGCCAAGAATTGAAAGCGCAGTGTCCAGCAAATCAGCCCTGGAGGAGGACTCCTTCCGCTAATCCACTCCGCTAATGTTGGAAAGCTACTTTCTCTCTCTCTCTCTCTGTCTCTCTCTCTGTCTCTTTCTCTCTCTCTCTCTCTCTCTCTGTCTCTCTCTCTGTCTCTTTCTCTCTCTGTTTCTCTCTCTCTCTCTCTCTCTCTCTGTCTCTCTCTCTCTCTTTCTCTCTCTCTCTCTCTCTCTCTCTGTCTCTTCTCTCTCTGTCTCTCTCTCTCTCTGTGTCTCTCTCTCTCTCTCTCTCTCTCTTTCTCTCTTTCTCTCTCCCACTCCTCCCAGTCCGGCTCCTCTGGCGTCTGACTGGCTGGACGGACTCGTTCCCAGACACGGGAAAACACACCAAGAGTAGAACGGAAGAGAAAGCAACCTCCAGAAGTGGAAATAATGAAGACCGGCTTGGAACAGGGCTGGACATCCTGATCGTCTACTTTTTTTAATTACTATTTGGGACATTAAGAATTTCCACCAGGCTAAATAACATTTTTTAAAAATATGTATAGCTTATCCATTGCAATTACGAGAACATTTGAAATGTTGTGCACACAGAAATCATAATTAAAACATGACAATGAGAACTTTTGAGAGCTTTTTCAATATGATTTGGCTGTGGTGTCTTTGTTTTGCCCTTTGTTTGTCTGAATGTGCCCTAATGTGTCCTTTCCTCTTTTTGGTTTGATTTTGTTAGAAACTGTGGAGTACTCACTTTTAACCCAGAAGAGAAATCAGAACAAACTTGGAATCCAGAGACTCTAGATCAGTGTTTTTGAACCTATTTTGAGCCAAGGTACACTGTTTTCATTGTTTTCACTGTTTTCACTGTTTTCATTGTTTTCATTGTTTTCACTGTTTTCACTGTTTTCACTGTTTTCATTGTTTTCATTGTTTTCACTGTTTTCACTGTTTTCATTGTTTTCACTGTTTTCATTGTTTTCACTGTTTTCACTGTTTTCATTGTTTTCATTGTTTTCATTGTTTTCATTGTTTTCACTGTTTTCATTGTTTTCATTGTTTTCATTGTTTTCACTGTTTTCATTGAAAGAATCACGAGGCACACCACCAACCAAAAATCTAAACAAATGATACTCTATAGCTGCAAAAATTAAATATATAGTAATTTTATCAAAGTGTCTTCAATAGGAATCAAATAAATACAAAAAATCATTTTTATCCTATTTTATATTACTTATTTCAAATTCCACTGAACATGTCAACTTCAAAAATACGCCTGACTAATTCTGTCCACAAGCATTCTCTTTGCCAGAATACAGAAAAAAATTCTTATTCTGAGAAATGCAATAATATTTGGAAAAGAAAAAGCTCACGGTATTTGCCTTCTGTTGATATCCACTCATACAAGGTCCTTCATCTGGGTCCGAATTTTGTCCAGGGACCAGATCGGAGTTAGCATTTTTCTTTTCAAAAACTTTTCCATCACTTTCATCACAGTCTTGCTAGATACAATACTCTCTCTCACTGCTACCTGTCACATTCAGGTAGTAACTACTGCGTTGTTACTGCGTTTGTAACAACGCAGTAGTTACATAGCATTGTTTCAACATACAGTGCTATGTACCTACTGCCATCTAGTCATAAGGACATTACATGATTATGCCGCTAGTCATTACTACAACACAGACACTCGAAAATGGCATATTATTTGCAGAAAATTAATTTATTTTCAAAAAATCTTTTTAGACCAATTAGGTGAAATTGGATAATTTCCACGGCACACCTGACGATCACCCACAGTGGTTGAAAAACACTGCTCTAGATTATTGGTCACTCTTTAGCTTACTCACTATTTAGATGTAGAGAGACTCCTATTATTGTAACCCAGAAAAGACATTTGAACGAACTTAGAATCCAGAAAAAAATCTCCCAGAACAGGAACATTTAGTTTTTATTATTACTTAGAAATTGTGGAGTACTCATTACTTTTTCAAATTTAGAGCACACTTAGAAAGTCCAGAGAATACTTATACTTATCTAGCATCCCAGAAGTCCTGTTCATTCTGTTTGAATAAACAGAATATTTATTCATTCTGTTTGAATAAACAGAATATTTATTCATTCTGTTTGAATAAACAGAATATTGATTCATTCTGTTTGAATGAACAGAAGCCTGACAATTATGTAGCAACCCAGAATAGGGATTAGAATTTGGATCCCAGAAAAACTACCTTAGTGTAACAGAGAGCAAAGTGTGTATAGTATGTCTGTGTGAATTTTGCCCAAAATAATGAAGGTTGTGTTTGTTTTTGATGAGATTTTTGAGTAATGCCATGTTTTGGAGCCACCTGTGGTGTAAACGCACTGCATGCGACGGGTCCTTCAGGCGCTCTCGCGGTTTCCCCCACCAGAATTCTGCGGAGTGCTGGTGGAGGTAGGTGCGAGAGACGCAGCTCTTCATTATTTTTATTTTTTTTACTTGGGGTCATATTTTTCTGGTTCAGTACTTAACAAAATACTATAATAACAACTGACATTCATAAATATAAATTATGAAGTTTTGTCCTGGTTGGGCTGGAAATATGACCCTATGTGTGAGAGCTGCGTCAGTTGGTGTTCCTGGCTGACCAAACAGTCATGACGCTAACTATATCTTTTGTTTTTCAGCTGAGGGACCACTCGCAGGCAGTCAAGTCTTGAAGATTTGTCTTTTGTTTATCACTCTAGAGAAAGTTACATCAGCAACTACTTTTTAGACCCTATTCTCCCAACCCAGAAAAGGAATCAGCCCAGAGGATTCTTACTTACTTATACTTATCTACCAACCCTGAATAGGAGTAGCCTATCTAGTTTATTTACTTTGGATTAACATTATTAGCTTTTCCTTCTTTTGCCCTTTCTTTTGGTTTGTTATTTTGTTTGTATTTCCTCTTAATTCTCGTAAAGCACTTTGTATTGCCTTATTGCTCAAAATGTACTATATAAATAAAATGACCTTTACCTTTAAAAAATGTCATGTGATGCAACTGATTTATCTGAAAATAAGTTATTTTCCATGATGTCCCAAGCATTTTTTTTATAAGTTTCCATTTATTTAAGGTGTTTAGAAGCAAAGATTTTGAATTTCTTTGTATTGTTTTGGCAACCTCCCCCCACACCCACAAAAAAGGAGTCAAGTTCCATTTCTAATTGACTTGACCTCCATTTTTCTTCACCATTTCACCAAGTTGTGTTGAAAAATAAATAAACCAGTCACTTTAGGATACTGATTAATGATAATCCTAGAAATCAATAATTACTTAAATGTAGTTTTCATTATTAAATCTTTAAGCTACATTATAATATGCATTTTCTTATTTTGGGAATTTAAAGGAGTCAAATGTACATTGAGTACAAAACTCTTACGAATAAATTCTTAAAGCGGGACTGTCTAAATTCATTTTGAAAATAAACAAGAGGGGAAATAACACTTAAGAAGAGGGTCTTCATAATTACAAAAACTTTTCTCTTTCATTTGTAACAACTCAAACACTTTTTTCTATGATGTTAAAACTTTTCAGCCTTGAGCAGCAAGTTGATAAATACACGCCACACAATCTTATGTAGACAAAACTTATTGACTGGTCATAAACACTTTCACAGACACATATGTAATTATATATATTGATATTATTATAGATTTTATGTAAGATTATAATAAGCTAAATTATGGAAAATTAGTAAATATGTTTTAACCATTTTGTTTTAACCAATGTATTTATATAAATTCAATAATGTAATTTAAGTTGTTTTGAGATTTGTGAATAATGACTGTATTTAATTTGTCTCAAACAACTTTCTGTTGTAAGTTATCGAAAGACTTGAATAAACAGAATAAACAGAAGCCTGGAAATGAGCCACATGCAGCAGCCTCCTGCCTCCTGCAGCTGTCAGCTTGTTTTGCAGTTATTTTTGTAATATTTTATAAATTTATTGGTTATGGTGTCTCAATTATTTGATATTTTGCAGAAGTCTTTCATGGTCTCTCCAAACTCCTCACACCCTGAGGTTTTGCCTCAGCAACCATCTGAGCCACATGCAGTTTGGACTGCCTGAGACCGGCCAAAAAGGCCTGATAGGACTCCTTCTTCAGGCTGACAGCATCCGTCACTGAAGGTATACATCAACGGGTTCAAGGGTTGCCATTGTGACAGGCACCAACAACTTTGCAGCCACAACTCCGATAAGCCGCCTCAACAATGGAAGCATGGAATACTGTCCATCCAGACTCAATGTACCCTACCTCACCCGGAATTCTGCTGGGGATGGAAGTTAAAGGTCTGTCTCATGGGAGACTCTGTGAGACGCTCCCAGTAGACCCTCACGTCACGTTTGAGCCTGCTCGGTTTGACTAGCATCCTGCCCCACCACCGGAGTCAACTCACCACGAGGTAGTGGTCAGTGGACAGCTCTGCACCTCTCTTCACCCGAATGTCCAAGACATGGCTGCAGAGCCGATGAAACAACGACAAAGTTGGTCATCAAACTACAGCCTAACGTGTCCTGGTGCCAAGTGCACATATGGATATCCTTATGCCTGAACATGGTGTTCGTTATGGACAATCCATGACGAGTACAGCAGTCTAACAATAGAACATCACTCAAATTCAGAACAGGGGGGAGGCATTCCTCTCAACCACAGCCCTCCAGGTCTAACTGTCATTTTCTATATGAGCATTGAAGTCCCCCAGCAGAATAAGGGAGTCCCCAGGAGGGACACGCTCCAGTCCACTCTCCAAGGACTCCAAAAGGGTGGGTAATCTGAACACCCATCACACATTGCACCCAACCCCTTTGGCCACTCCAAGAGGTGGTAAGCCTTTGGAAGGAGGACCCATGTTTTCTCCTTGGGCCCGGCCGGGCTCCATGGGTAAAAGCCCGGCCACTAGGCGTTTGCAACGTGCCCCACCTCCAGGCCTGGCTCCAGAGTGGGGCCCTGGTGACCCGCGTCGGGCGAGAGAACACCAAGTCCATTTTTATAGCTCATCATAATGGGACCTCAAAAAAGTTGAGTTTACATATTGCTGTACCTTTTAAATAAATCCTACCAAACCTCCTATGTTTGTCACTTTTTTGCCTTTCTAGATTGAAGTAAACTAAAAATGGCTTTAAAATTTTGGTACAGACAGAACTGAGATTTTTGTGTTTATCACACCCTTAGCCGTTTGTGTCCAATGTCTCTTTATTGCCCTGTTGTCCTCATTGACAGACACCCTACACAGGGCACAATAAACTTCTTGGGCTTCAACCACTGGAGCTCACCACCAGCCCCTCTACAAACCCACAAGTACTAAGTAGGTATGGAAGGAAAAAAATAACTGCAGTCAATGCTGTTGACAAATTTCATCTTTATTATTTTGGCCAGAAGCAGATTTCCTTATAAATATACAGAATACACATTAAAATCCAAGCAGATAGCAACTAATTCTAGTTGTCTTTCTACTTTTCCTGTCTTTGTGACGCAGGGTGATCTCTTGATACATAAAACACTGTTCCTGGGTCTTGCTTGTATCAGCTCTTATGATGATTGTTGGACTGTATATTACTAGGAATGAAAACAACCAAGATTATGGATTGTTAATGTATTTTCATTGCTTCACCAGTCTACCTTGAATTTGATTAATTGTGACCGTAAAACATGGCAATTGTCAAATAAGCTTCAATAAGATGGAGAGTTTGATTATAACAATTAATCAGTTCTGCAGTGTGTTTTCAGTGACGGTGCTTAGTGCAACTACAATGTTTTTCTTCTTGTAGCTGGGCCAGCGACATAGTGGGCACCAGTGCTTACCTCCTGCTAACCATACCACAATGCACTGCTGATGAAAGGCATGGCCACAGGGCAGGCCCATGAGCAGCTCCTCATTCACAAAGTTCTCAAGGCACACCACACACTCTGAACAAGGAATCATGTCATTGGGCCACACAGGAGTTTCTGTTACCTGAGCAACAGAAACTCTTACAGGAATGATGCTACCATCCTCAAGAAATCTGTCGATTTTTTGGAAGCTTTCATTTCTACAGCAACAGCAAGATGGGCAAAGAGAAACACACTTTACAAATTGACTATTGTTGATATTTTGGTCCCTACACAAAATATTGAGCCTGTTGTCCTGATTGCACAAAGATCCTATTTGCCTTAAACTACTGTGTGGAAGTGTGTTTATGCTTGGAGGTGAGGAATCTGTGATTTTCTGGCAGTTTATGTTTGATTGCAGTCTATCCTGTTCACCATCTTGATGGAAACAAGACACAGACTGGCCTTGATGGCAAACAGTTTTAACTTTCCAGGTTGGAAGATATTTTAAGTAGTCTACATTTACTAGTGGGTGAAGCCAGAGATCTGGGAAAGCCAAACTCTCAAATAAAAAGCTGGGATCATCTTCCCACTCTGAAAGATCAGAAGGGAACTGTTGCACTAATGTAATAGGGTGAAGCAGAAAGGAAATGTACCAGTCCCACAAACTGGCTAGCCACTCGAGGTTGGTCGTGGAGTTCTCTTGGTTCCTTGTACCACAATGGCGTTTCCTCTCAACGTAGTCAATCAACAGGCCATGAGCCAGGTAGGTGGACAGAAAGAGAGCTGGATGGGATGAGTAAAAGGTCCAGTCAGCCCTGACTAAACTTGCGAATGTGGTGGTGTCTGCATAACGAATCAGCTTCAGACTGTAATAATACAGTTTGTCCAGATAGGAGAGTTGAATGAGACCCTGTGAGGAGATACAAAAACAACAGTTACCAGGAGACTTTTTAAAAGTACCTGTCTATTTAAACAAAACTACAATAAGTAGTCAGTCTGTAACTGCATTCACTTTATTAGGTGCAGTAAATGCAAGCTGCTTTAGAGGGAATGTAGAAATTAGAAGCAACTTTATTGCATTTGTAGACTTAGAACAACCTATAGTATTGTGTATCAAATATCTGTTGGAACAGTATTTTATTTTTCTATCAACTATATTTGACTATCTTTTGTTTTTCACCACACTGAATGTTTACTTTTCTCATTAACATGAGATAAACTGTCTCCTTATTCTCTGAAACCATGTCAACAATAAACTAAACAGTTTTATGATTATGCGACAATTTCATTTATCACTTCAATTTAAGGTTCATAACATTAAAATGTAATACAATTATATATACCTGGATGAGTATTTCTGTTGCAAAAAACACAGACTTTTACTGGCCAAAATGTGTGGAATAAGAGCCTTTTGAATAGAAGTACTATGTATAGTTTATTATTGCTCTGGACAGAAGCTGTGCAGCATCAATTCAGGCAGAACGTCATGATAAGGCATTAGTACTGTCTCTTTCAATCAACATGAGAAAAAATATTCAACTGCCATAAATGTTTTTTTTTCTTTGAGGTAGGAGTGTTATTTTACTTGAAGTAATGATTAATCATTAGTAACTTAAATGAATAGTGAACTGGTTGTTAGTGTGGTTTGGCCTATTTTTAAAAGTAATTTCTAACTCTTTACTTCCCCTTTATACCAAAATGTTTGGATCAGTCAGTATTTTATTTCCTTCTATTTTGTAACATAGGTCTGCTTTTTTACCAGTTGGGTTAAATTGCAGCTGAAGCTAAACCTTGGGTGATCTCGACCTCTTCTAAAGGGCCCTGTGACGTCACTTTACTGTTTTATTGTTTTATTTTGGGGTGAATATTCCCAAGTTTTCTTAAAAACCCCATGGTACTGTGACCAAATGCCTTACTTGGTTAAATATAAGTCTATTTCTCACAAGATGATTAGTGAATATTAATGACATTTTTTTTCTATAATAATGTGGGTGTACCTAAGATAGATGTGGGGATCTTTTTGTGCAACAAAAACTGCATGGCTAGAGTAATAATCCGTTCTCTCGTGATAATTTTTTTAAAATGTACTCTCAATTGTCAAGTTTATTTCTGTTTTTAAAGCACAAACTACATTCTGCTACAACAATTTAAAAATAAAAATCTTTGAAAATATATATTTTTGTTCTGAACATATGTCACGCTATCTGGGACGCATCTGAAAATCATGTTAGTTTCAGCCCATCTGGAAAGAATTCATAGTTCGTTTGAAATTTTTTAAATCTATTTATTGCAATAATAGTCAAACTTCTCCATCAGCATTCTACACACAATAAGCAAACAAATACCAACAATTTTAGAGCAAGAATCAAAAATCAAAGGAATTGTCTTTAGAAAATCTCTTATTTGAGATTGCTATCAAAATAGAAAAGTTGAGGAAGGATAAAATCAAAATAAAAAAGACATTTGGTACCACTAAATCTCCAAAAGCAGTCTGATGTCTTTTTTTTTTTTAACAAACAAACCACAACATTTCCAAGATCTGGTCACTGATCAAACAGTAATAAAGGAGGAAAGGTCGTGCAGAGAAAGGTGATGAAGAAACCATCGCATGGTCCCAGACAGGTTTCTCCTGTTCTGAAAATCTCTACAGTGTATGTGTGCAAAATTTAAAAGAGCCAGATGAGAGTTCTTTCTTATTGAAAATGAATAAGAACGTCCATTCTGAATTCATGAAAACATTCTTGGCAAAAGCCATTTCCATAGTTCCAATTTTCCCCTGTGACATTTTGAGTGGAAGGATTACACAAAATGTCAACATTCGCTGATAGGACATGGCAGCTTATCTGAATTTTGCAGATACGCACCATAGACATTCTTAGAACCAAATGTGGAAAAAGTTAGCTGTGCCATTGCCTTCCTATGCAATTCTTTATAGAACTGCATAGTTGTATAAATAATTATGCAGTTCTATATATTATTGCATAGGGAGGACGGTTTTCTCATTAAGCTCGATGTCTCCGGCTGAATTTCAACTGGGCGAATCAGTGAACAGCAGGAATTGTGATGGATGTTGACTTTGAGTTTATGCTCTGTTTTATAATTATAATCTGGTTAAATAGGGTTGCAATTGACACTGGGAGTGAACTAAGGGAATGAGGTCATGTAGTCTATGTGGGCCTTGCTTCCAAAAATTGAACAATTAAACTCAAAGCAAGAGGAATGGATAAGATATTTTATTGCTGGCAAAAGAGCTCCTATTCATGGGGTTGATTACAGGCAAGCAGTTTCTGGTAAGCTTTATTAAGCTGGTGCATTACATCAAGGCCAAAAGTAGAGACTGGGTAAAATCAGATTGTTTAAAACTTCAACAGAGTCCATGCCTTCAGCAAGCAATTGTTTCTAACCCTAACCCTAACTGAGGGTCCAGAAGGTCTGTAAGAAGCATAGAACAGGGGGCTGATTTTTACCAAGCTAGGAATAACACTGGGAATATGTTATGGACATACATTGTCTTGCAATTGTATTCATACCCCTTTAATACAATTGGGTATAAATATTTTGTCACATTACAAGCGTAGATTCATATATTTTATTAAAATTTTATGCGAAAGAAATTTAAAGTAGAGAGAAAATTAGACATGTTTCAAAACATTTTTTACAAATAAAAACTGAAAATGCAATGTGCAAAAGTATTCTGTCCCCTTTTTCTGAGTGCAACCAGTTCCTTTCAGTAGTCTTCTGAAAGGAACTAATGAATAAAAACAAGATTTTTAGTCATTATTTTGTCACTATCTAAATTTTGCAGAAACAATTTTGATGTTTTGGGAACATATCAAAATTGCAGTGGTATCCTCAATGATAAATAAAATAATAAAACAAATAAATATATGTCTAAGGTTGACTACGTCTCAATTCTTAGGCAACCCTCAGTCCAGCCCTTTTTAGTTTTTTGAGAAGTCTTTGTTGTGCATTCCTTTCCAGAAAATAGACCTGACCTGGTTCAGTAACCAGGTCAGGTCTGAGGTGATGTGGATGCCCAGGAATTTTATGTTGTCCACACACGCACTCCACCACCTTCCCTTGAATTGTAATAAGTGGGTGAACTGTCCTATCCAATGTGACCTCCTGGGTCTTGCAGGTGAACACTACTATATCAGTAGGTTGTTCAGTGACTGAAATAGGTGGTGAATCTCCTCTGTACAGGGTCTCATCATTATTATTATCAGACTCATTATGGTGGTGGTATCTACAAACTCTAAAACCCTGTTAGAGGAGTGAATAGTTACACATTCATGGGTGAACAGACCATAAAGAACCAGACCAAGCACACCGCCTGTATCGACTGAGGTGGGTGATATTCGGTACCCTAGTCTCACCACCTGAGGCCAGTTGGTGAGAAGGTCCATGATCCAAAGACACATTGATTTTGAAAGTCCCAGGTCATGGAGTTCACTATCAGATTCTCTAGGCTGATTTTTTTTACTTTAGTTAAATCAAGGCCGGCCCAAGCATCCATCGGAGGCGCTGTAAGAAAGGCCTACAGTTTTCAGTTATGCTGCATCAGTAGATTGCTGCGAGGGAACCCAATACTTTTTGTGAGGAAACACAAAAGAAAAACAATTCTCTATGTCCCCTAGAGGGCTCCGTAAGATGGTGGAATAGACCGTTTAAAAGAGGCGAAGTTCAACAGTGGAAAACTGATGACAAAAAATAAAAGCAAAAATATATATTTTGTTTTCCTTTTCTTTATACATTCGCTGTTATAGGTTCCTAATTAATGAAGCCATAAGCTTGACGCTCTTCGTCTTTCCCCGTCATCTTACTTGACGACAAAAAAAAAAAAACGAAAAACAGACTGAATCCTCTTGATACGTTAAACTGTTTACTTCAAAAATAAAATCAGTACAAAATGTTACATTCCACACTAATAAAGAGTAAATAAGAAAGAGAAAGAAAAGACGAGGTCAAAAAACTGTGTGGCTCCTCCAACTCCCCATCTTTAGCCACACCCTAAATCACAGATGTCAAACTGCAGTCCTGGAGGGCCGCTGTCCTGCAACTTCTAGATGTGCCTCTGCTGCTGAATAGAATAATAGGTCATTAGCAAGGCTCTGGAGAACAAGGAGGACGTAATGAAGCCATTTCATCCCAGTGTTTTGTACCTGTGGCACATCTAAAACCTGCAGGACAGCGGCCCTTGAGGACTGGATGTTGACACCCCTGCCCTAAATCTTCAACTACAATTGGATATGCAAATCCACAAGATGTCCCCAGAAACTGAATTTAGGCTTCTACAGCTGTCATCAAAAGCTGTATATACATTTTTCTTTTCCTTACACATTTTCATCAAGAAATGTATGCATTTTCTTTCTTGTTTCCCTTAAACAGGCATTTTGTCAAGAAAAGTATGTTTTGTTTATTCCTTATACAAACCCTCATTCTTTTGTCTTTTTCCTTACTTTTTCCATGTGCATCTTTATTTTAATGAGCAGGTTTGCCTTCTATGTCCAGCTCTTCTGCTTCTGGCCAATAGAGCTTTGGGACCAACGTCACTGCTTAAATATAGATATACATTTTTTTCCCTTTTTCTTTTATTTCTATATTTTACAACACAATTGAAATAGTGTTCAATGTTGTTGTCAATCAGATCAGATAAAAGACAATCAGGCATTATTGGGGGCATCAGAAACTCTGAGGACTGCAGGATCCTTCCTCCCTTTGCTAGGCTGCTCTAGTAAGCTTCTGTTATTCTTTAGTGTTTTCTGTCTTTTATTCTCAAGTTGTTCATCACTACCTCATGATGTCAACACCATAACAGACTACATTCAAAATTTTGATGACACTTTGTGAAATAAATGCTTAATTCTGATGGATTGAAAATATTTCACAGATCTGATGAGCCACAATATGGTCTTCTTCAGAATAACGTCATATAAATCGAAGTGGTTTGGCATTTTGTCAATTCCGTCACAACTCAACACCCTCAGAGTTTTTAACTGACCGTGTGACTCTTTCAGTCAAATCTCACCTAAGTGTGCAGTTCATTCATTTTAAAGTATTCTACATGAATGGCATTACTTCACATGCATCTAATATTTCTTTTTAATCACTAGTTCGTCACCACCGTCAATTCTGTGTCAACTCAGTCAGATGGACTTTATGTTGTTTTTTGTTTTAAATAATATTTATTTTGTTCTTGAGAAGCATTTGCCTGTGAACCTGAGTGAAAATATCACTGATTACAAAATAATTTTCTATTTATTTTTGTCAGACAGTCTTGACAAAATTCTGTGTCAGGACCATGATAAATGTAACTTTCAAAGAAAATATTTCAAATGGGAGCCAGCACTTTAGCATCTTTACATTCCCAAAACTATTATTTGTCATATTTGAATACATAATCTTGAGGAATAATTAAATTTCTTTTTTTATTATTGGAACCTATTTCATCCCTTATTTCAAGAATCACTGAGTCGACGACATAACCGCCCGTCATAGAGAGCAAGCGAGAAGAATAATTAGGTCATTAGCAAGGAGGAGCTAGCTAAAGAAGCAGCTAGCTAAAGAGGCAGATGCAAAAACGGGGAAGTCAGGTACAATGGACCCCGTTTCCAATCCTCCCGCTGTCTTAACGCGATGCTCAGGAGCATGGCAAAAGTGAGAAAGCGCCGAGGGGCGGGGTTATGTTCTGACTGTCTTTCCAAAACAACCACCAAAAAAAAAAAAAAACTTTGTAAAAGCGCCCAGTGCAATCACACTGGACCATGCACAGAGTAAAAAAACTTGTGAGGGTAAAATGACCCAGTCTCTTAAGTTTGTAATATAATCTGAAAAGTGTGTGGAAGATACAAAATAAAAGCAGTTTTACCACCTTAAAACAAACCATGTTCTTGAATACCAGAAATACTACTGACGACAAGTTACAGGCACAACAATGAGAAGAAAAGGCAGGATTCGACACAGACATCCATTGCATGAAACTTATTGTTTCTATATAGAGATATAGTATTCAACTTTGATTTAGCCAAGTATTCACCACTGAGATTATGCTGCTGCTCGTTTTAAAATGTCTCCCCTCAAGATGCTCAATTGGTATTTATGAGCCCAATGTGTGTCAGGAAAATACCCCCTTCCCCTCCCATCATTACACCTCCATCATCAGCCTGATACAAGGCTTTATATTGTTAATGCCAAATTCTGACTTCAGACCATCCAAATGTTGCAGCAGAAATTGACTCATCAGACCAGGCAATATTTTTCCAAACTTCTATTGTCCAATTTTGGTGAGCATGTGCAAATTATCGTCTCAGTTTCCTGTTAGCTGACAGGGGTGGCATCCGGTTTGATTTTTTGCTGCTGCAGCCCATCCACTTCAAGGTTCTATGTTTTGGGCGTTCAGAGATGCTCTTCTGCATACCTCAGTTGCAGTGATGGCATAGTTACTTTGAAAAAGTAACTCTAATCTGATTACTTCTTGAAAAAGTAACTTTAATCTGATTACTTGGTTTGGAAAGTAACTAAGTTATACTAAAGGTAACTTTGTTTAGTTACAACAACTCTCCGCCACCTGTGAAAATTACATTGATCTTTGTCAATACTTAATTGCAAGTTATTTCATAATGATTACATCAACAATGTGTCTCCACTTATGTGGTTGAACTAAAGGGGAGATTGTTTAATGGTTACAACAGTACAAAAAACTTTAGTAATTTGTGCGCGTTTGTGTGTGTTCCAGTATTATCTGGAAAACTATAAATACGACTTAGACCCCTCCGCCTCCACTTCCTGTCCCAGCGTCCAGGTTCTATGTCAAGGCCCTGCGTTTTTTGTCAGAGCGCAGCGCACAGAGCTCCTCCAGCGGTTCCACAACTCAGATATCCCGCTGCACAGATTAGTGACACTTATCTTAATATGAATAATTATAATGACGTTTAGTCGCACAACTTTACAGACTTGTACATTCGTGGCTGTTTTCACATTTATTGCGCTTTTCATATTAGTCTCGATGTTTGCAGTTTTCTGGAGCGCAACGCGAAGCTTGACGTCATTGAGAGCAAATACATTACGTTGATATTAACAAAAACACAGCGGGATGGATCATGAGTCTTGACTAAAACTAACTGCATGACAGACAAATTCTGGGGGTTATGTCTGTTTATTTCCGAGCCGCGACTCATTAAAAATGCAAACTACTTAAAAAACAAAAAAAAAACAACAAAAAAAACAAGCCCAAAGTTGCTTATAATCATTGAACTTGGTAACTGGAACTCAAAATAACTCCTGTTTTTCCAGCAACAAAATGCTCATCTCCATTGTTTCTGTCGCTGCTTTCTGACCAGTCTCTGCAAAGCTTAGAGGTGGTTGTGTGTGAAAATCCCAGTAGATCAGCAGTTTCTGAAATATTGAGAACAGCCTGTCTGGCACCAACCATGCCACGTTCAAAGTTACTTAAATCACCTTTCTTCTCCATTCTGATCCTTGCTTTGAACTGCAGCACATTGTTTTGGCCATGTCTACATGATCCATTGAATTGCTGCCACCTGATTGACTGATTTAACATTTGCATGAATGCATAGCTGTCCACCTATTCATAAAGTGGTGAGTTTATATATTGAGATGAATTTTATGCAATATCACCTATCCCTAGATCCAATCTGTAAGGAAAATATCAATACCGCAATTATAATGGTATCATGACTCACAAGTAGGACTAACAAGAAATGACAAGGTAATGTAATAATAGAGAAAAACACAACTTTTTAAAGTTTGATAATTAATACCTGTTATAACCTATTTATAACAATTTATTAAAAAAAGACTTTGTATAGGTTAATGTCAAGTTGTCAGACATATTTGTCTAGGTTAATGACAATTTGTCATAAAGACATGTTAAATAATGTCACCTTTGTATTTAATGACAAATAAAAATACATTTTGCCAGACTAATTTTGCTAAATTGTTATATTTAGCTAAATACTACTGTTGAGGGGCACAAGCAGGTCTCCTGGCACACAGATAAAAATAAAAACCCTCAAAACAGCACCAGGGACATCAAGAATAAAAGCTCAGAACTGATAGGAGAATGGATGGAGTCAAATACAAGGCAATGTTGGAAGAAAACCTATTGCAGTCTGTAAAAGACTTGAGACTGAGGGTCGTTGTTCTTTCTTCTGGAAGGACAACAACCTTCATGCTGCAAGGTCTTTGGAAGGGCAGAATTAAGGTAAAACTGTTGTAGTTCTGCTCTGCCCTCCTTCCAGCAGGACAATGACCTTAAACACAAAGCCAGGGCTACAATGGAATGGTTTAAAACAATGGTGTGTTAGAATGGTCCAGTCAAAGTCCAAACCTAAACCCAATCAAGAATCTGTGGCAAGCTCTGAAAACTGCTGTTCACAAACTCTCTCCATCTAATGTGACTGAGCGTAAGCTGTTTGGTAAAGAAGAATGGGAGAAAACCTTAGTCTCAATGTGCAAAGCTAGTAACATAAAATACTCACAGCTGTAATTGCAGCAAGACCACAAAGTATTGTCCAAGTGGTGTGAACATTTTTGTACACCACGCTTTGTTTTGAATTAAGCTTTGTTTCGTGGAGGAGCCACTTGGGTCAACTACTCCAGGAGAATGCTAAGGCAGATTCAAGCCAGCCAAGATGAGCGTGTTTATCTGTTTCTTTCTACTTCACAATTCTATACCACTCTATGTTGGACTTTCACGTTAAATTCCAATATACATGTTTGTGGTTGTAAAGTGACAAAATATGGAAAAGTTCAAGGGGTATGAATACTTTTGCAAGCCAGTATATTTACTTTCTTATTTTTAGTTTAGTGTTTCAACCCATTAATTGATTAACATGATATTGAAATATGAGTCAGATGATTTCCTACCAAAACAGGAAGCCAAGACACCAGCAATATGGAGTTGTAGGTTCCAAGTGTTCTGATCAGAACAACAAATCGCTTGATTGTTGCTCCCTGTGAGTGAAAATAAATAGGAATTACAAATAAAAATTAATGACAGGAACAAAAACAAGGTACCATTCTTTTTTATGAATATATCACAGTTTCAGCTAAACAAGGTGACCTTTGTATATAGCTTGGAGAGGACTCACTACATAGACTAATACTTCTTTAAAATGTATGTAAACCCCATATCAACTTTTGTGCAAATAAGCTATCTAAATTTGGCCTTCAGGGTGCCATCTATCGTCACTGAGAAAATTGTGACATTTCCATGTAAAACTTGCTTATTTTCCATTATTTGGCCTAAAACTGTCTTACTTCTGCTCTCTTTGGGTTAAAGTAAGGCTGCTGCAGTTGAATTTTTGTGTTGATTATACACTGTATATGTTGGTCGATACCTATGTCACACCCCTGCATTCGGGTACAAAACCAGCTCTCAAACATGCAAGTTCAGTCAGGAGTTGGAATTGTGTGCATTGACGGAGTCGCTAAGTTGGAAACCGTGTGTTGTCCTTGTTCTGGCCATCCCCTTTAACCACTTGTATAAAAGGCGCTGACATTCTGTATTTTATTTTGTAATATTGGTTTAGAGTATCCTAGGAAGTGATGTAAGCCTGAGTTATGTGCTGCGCTACCACTCATGAGAGCACTTTAATATACTTCCGGGTCAGTTTGCTGCATTCTTCGCATGTGAGACCGCATTCCCGGTGGATTCCTGAGAAGTGATGCTCCGAGTGTTAAGTTGCTGGCAAAGTAAATTATTAAGGGCATCCGCTGCCAGCGGCCGCTACAGTATAGGGGTTTTACCTGGCCATATGATGGCGCCAAAGTGCCTCTGATGTTAAACTGAGCCAAAGGGTTGTCTGTGTTGGTGTTTTTTTTTTTTCACTGAGATGAAACCTTTACGTGAATAGTTATTTGTGTATGTTGTAGATTTACATGCAAAGGTGGATGGTTAAGTTTATTTCTTTTTAGATATATTTTGTTTGAGTTTGTATTAGTTGAACCTCTATTGCTGTAATATACTAGCCTAATGGGAATTTATTCGTTGTTACAGACTGCTGACAACACTGAGTATCAAGACAAATAAACCAGCTCACATCTAAAGATAAAGTTTCGGTCTCATGTCCTTCCTGTATCCTGACCGATACACCATCCTGTATGCTGCAAATACCTACGAACCTAAACCTAATTAGCACTGGTCATTCAAGCCAGATGCAGTTATCAGGATGGAGCCAGACAGAATGACATTCCTTGATTTGAGACCTAAACAGCAGTCACACCAACCAAGCCAATTCCATGTCTTTGAAGTTGAGTACACACATCGTTCTATTCCATGTTGGGAAACCCCGTTGCCTCCCCCAAGACATGTTGAACACCAACCTCAGTATAGCAGTACACCACCTCTCTACAGTGATAGTGATGTGACCTACTCAGCTGGAGAGAAGTAAACAAGGGAGGAATTTTAGGGATCTCATACTTGAATTTTCCCCCTTCAGCCTGTTGGAGTCCTCCATACCCCTCATACAGGATTCAGAGCTTTGCAGTAGAAAGAGAGAAGCTACTTCAATCCCAGGAAGTTCTACAGTAGGCCCTGAGAGAACTTAATGAAGTGAGGAATGATATCAAAGCACTTATTGAAGCTGCTCACTCACTGAGGAAGCATATGGTTCAGCTGACTGCCTCAAAATATGACATTCATCAGCCCCTCATGAGCAGCTCAGAAAGGGTGTACAACCCCACCACTAACACAAGATGAGGAGGAATGGCCTGATCCACCTTTGTGGCCTGAACCTGGAGAGGATCTGCACAAACTAAAGGTTGAAGAACAGTATTTGGATTATGGCTCACAGCTCCACCTCTTTCATCTGAGTTAGTATATTGGGGGCCCAAACCAACAATCCCAAGGTTCATTCATTCAGATCCTTCTGAGTTTGCCAGGCTCCGAATGGCCCTGGAGAACATACTCCCTCCTAACGCTACTGAGCTATTTAAGTACCAAATACTTGTGGACCACCTTAAGTTTGATGAAGCTCGGCTATACTGATATTATGACTGCCCTCCATGATAAATTTGGACAACCTCATTAGCTTGCCTTAATGAAAATAGCAAGTGTCCTAGATAGCCCAGAAATAAGATGTGATATAGTAGCCTTCCAAAGGTTTTTTCTCCAGGTGCAATCACTTGGTCTGTTGCAAACATTAGGACTTGAGGGAGAAGTAAAACTGAATTGTGGCTCTCATGTTGCCTGTCTGACAGGCAAGCTCTCTCCAGAGCAAAGAGCTGAGTTTTGTCGCCATCAGTTCAAACAGCCTGGCACCACCGACTACTTATCTGAAAGACTTCGTCATGGGTTACGTTGTCAAGGGTTCGAGAGCCAAGATGGTGGGAAGAGTAGCCGAGAACAGACCTACAGAAAGGCGGATGCCCGTCCCTTCAAACAGACTGTAGCAGTGCCACATAATGTGAAAGGACCCTCAGAACACACTTCCCTGTCACCAAAAGAGAGTTGAGCTCGAGGGAAGACTAAGAGCAAAGCCTATTGTGCCTACTGTGAGAGCAAAGAACATTATTTCAGTCAATGTGAGAGTCGTAAAGCTCTCCAAAGAAGAAATAAAGAACTGGATTCAAGTCAACAAATGGTGCTGGCGTTGTGCATGAAATCATCTAGCTGCTCAGTGCACACTGAAGAAACCCTGCAGCCATTGCCAAGGAAAACACCTGCTGGCTCTTCATGATAAATGTCAGAACCGAAAGAAACAACATGGGTGTCTCCACAAAGGAAGAAAGTTGCCTTACCAATTCAGATTACAATTTGATATGCAAATCCACAAGATGTCCCCAGAAACTGAATTTAGGCTTCTACAGCTGTCATCAAAAGATGTATATACATTTTCAACTTAGCTCATCATACATACCTTCTTGATCAGCTGGGGAGGAAGCATAAACACCTGCAAGGAATCCCAGTGCTGGCGTTAGTTCCACACTGCTCCTTGTTGGTTCAGACTAGCCACATCTGATAACTCCCATAGAACAGGTTCGGCTTGGCCCACCTGGCAGTCCAGCAGCTGTCCATACTCGGCTGGGATGGACCCTTCAGGGGCCAAGTCTTTTGATGGGGCGGCCAACCCAGCCTGCCCTATGCTTATACACATCCTCTCAATCAGATGAGTTATTTAAGCATGTAGAGCAGCTCTGGCAGATGGATGCAATACCTTTCACATCTGAAAAGGAAGTGACCCGGTCAAAGCAGGATCTTCAAGCCGTGACTCTGCTCAAAGTTAAAATGGTTTGCATAATAGTGGATGGCGTGCACACCTCTCTTCCGCCATACCCAGATGCCACAACTGAATGCACCAAAGGAATCTGTCATGGCCATGCTTCGAAGCACAGAGAGACACCTTCTAAAGAATTCTCATCAGGCTGATGCCTACAGAGAAGATATGCAGAAGCTGATTCATTCTGGAGCAGTGAAAGAAATAACACCTAACACCTCATCAAAGGAGAGCTGGTACATTCCCCATCATCTTGTCAGTCATAATGGAAAGAATCCTCTGGTTTTCAACTGCTTTCATAAATACCTTGGACAGTCCCTGAATCAGTTTCTGCTGCCTGGCCCCACACTTGGAGCCCCTTTGCTGGGAGTTCTAATTAGCTTCCATGAATATCCCATAACTGAGTGGCGATATCAAGGGGATGTTACATCAAGTACTTCTCCTCTCGGAGGATCACCCTCTGTTAAAGTTCCTTTAGCGGGATATGAAGGTGGATGAACCTCCTAAAATCTTTGAGTGGCAGATCCCGCCCTTTGGGACAACCTCAAGCCCTTGCTGTGCAACATTTGCTCTACAGCGTCATGTTGCACACCCAGCCTGATGACAACCTAAGATTCTCCAGTGAGAAGTGTTTCTACATAGACAACTGTCTGCAGATTGTTGGTTCACCTTAAGAATTCCAAATCCTTGTAGACCGACTGAGAGAACTGCTGAAATCAGCAGGCTTCGAGTTACGTCAGTGGGCTTGCAATGACCCCAGTGTTACGAGTCATTTGGCTCCTGAAGCGAGATTGCAAAGTCTGGATCTGTGGATGGCGGAAGACAAATCCAACTCTTCAGAGACAACACTGGGGCTCAGTTGGGACTTGAATACAGATTTCTTGGGCCATAAGCACAGACCTGTGGCCAACTCTTCGAAACATCTATAGCGTTCTAGCGTCACAGTATGACCCCCTTAGGCTATTTGTTACCTTTCATTACTTGGGCCAAGCTCCTCCTTAGGCAGTTGTGGGATACACATGGTTGGGATGACACAAACCTGCCATCCACACTCCTTCAAGCTTGGAATGACAGGGGCGGAGCTTAAGTTTCTACCTCAGCTTATCTTGCCATGTGCCTATGCTCCTACCCTGGATGCTCCTTGGACATCCACAAAGAGCACATCTTTGCAGATGCATCTTAGAAAGTCTATAAAGCTGTAGCTTATATGAGGACTGAAGAGTGCGGCGGTCAGGTTCAGCTCACCTTCATCCTAGCTCGTTCCCGTGTAGCTCTAAAACGGACCCTCTCTATTTATTGCCGAAAGCTCTTTTTTTGCCTGGTTGTTCATACAATTAATTAAACCTGACATCTCCAAAGTGACCCACATGAGCACAAGAACATCGATGTCACACAGCGTGTGACCACTCCAGCACCAGAAAGACACATTTGGCTCGTCCATCTGCGGGATCGGCTAAGACCAGTGGCACACACAGCTGATGATACTATTGGTCTGTACAATAGACGCATCACATCTCAGACTGTCCCTAACCACCTATGAGAAGCCAACTTGGTCAAAATCAAATTCCTCAACCTGACCCCCATCACATTCTAAGGACTGTCAAACCTCTTACAAATGGCCATACCACAATGTTATCAATGTCGATATGAAGATCAGTAATTACTTAAAATATATTTTGAGTTTATATATTTATAAAACTCTTACATTTGACTTGGGGCATTTCTAAAATACAAACACTTTGAAAACAACTGAATATGTATTCTAATTAGTACCACATATGGAAGTGACACAGATGGGTATAAAAATTTTTAACTGGGTCATTCAGCTATCTGGCGTGAAAAAGGCGGATACGTGTGACAAAAAAAAAGTGGTTTGGCTTGCATTTGCCTACTATGTGAACGTAGCCTAATTGAACAAAAAAAACAAAAAAACAATTAAATGTGGTTTGCTAAACATAAAACCTCTCTCTTCAAAGACTGGTAGTCTGTGATGATCAGATACATTTATTTTGTCTCACAAAAACATGGCTGCGGCAGTAGGATTAGGTTGCTATAAATTAGTCAACCCCTTCTAATTACTTACATTTTCACATTTCTCAAAGTACACGGTGAGGACCTTTCTTTTAAATTTAGTAATTAATCCTACAGCTACAGTTTTATTGAACACTTATTTGTTTTGTAACTCCACCTTCTCTTACTCTCAATTTTTGGTCATATCAGAGATATTTTATCTGATTTACTGTTAAATACTGATAAGATCAATAAAATGGATATTTAATATTCATGTTGACAGTGATAGCCTAAATGTAGTCTTTAATATTATCTTAGTATTGAAAATTTTGACTTTTCTCAAAGCATTCACCTACTCACTCTTGTTCTACTTTAGACCAGGAGTCACCAACCTGGTGACTCCTGGTTGAGACTGGAAGCTACTTCAGTCTCAACCTGGTGAGACTTCATGGGTACAGAGTAACATAAAGGGCTACTTGTTTGATACATTTTCTTGATTCAACCTTTATAACAATAATGCATTACCATATAAATGTTTACATGCTGCTTGATCAATATTAATATTAAGGACCACTCACAATAGTTATCAGTAATAATTTACCATGGAAGATATGGCTAATTGTTATTATGACAAATCCAACAGACCACAGCGCCTGCAGCTGTACGTACTGTGTGTACCCTGAGATTTTCCTCTAAAAACAAAAAATGAATAGATTTTGGATTTTCTTTGGATAATTTAACCCTCTTTACTAGCAACTAAACTGTGGAGGAAAAAAAGATCTTTTGTGACAAAACATCTTGTAGCCCAAATCTGTCTGAGTCTGTGGAGGTGGGCACATGTCCAGCCTAAGCCTAAATGTTACTGGTTGGTTTACTTGTATTTATTTGGCTGCTTGGCTCTTTTCCTGTAAGCTAAAAATGAACGATGAGTTTATACCTTTCCGTAGTTCTAAGAGCGGTCATTTGGATTTAACCTGAACTCTTTACTGTGTGCATGGTTCTGGCAGGGTCGCTGGTTTATGAACTTTTTTGAGTTTTCACATACTGAAGAGCTGACGTGTGTTTGGACAACCAGGTAATCTACCATGCTCTTTCTGAGCATTGCATTAAGACTGCATGAAGGTTAAACAGTTAAATCTAGTCAAAATATTTGCTAAAAGAATAGAAATTAAGCAAACATTGTTGCTTCACTTTCTCCTCCTCTGGCTGTCTCAGACACGCCACCTGAACCTCATCCTTTTCTTCCAGTGGATCTTAGGGGTATGCAGGGCCGGCCCAAGGCTCCCTGGGGCCCTGTTGTGTCTACCACTAGGTGGCGTTCCAGAATAGGATCGAGAGCAGAGAGAGAGAAAGAGTAGAAGAAGAGATAAGATGGCGGAAAAGCTTATGTTATTGTACTGCTTAGCAAGTTATGAATAAAAGCTGTTAATAGTGATTTGTCTACTGAGATTCTACCTCGTCCTACCTACCAAACATAACAGGCCCCAAGCAAAATTTGGTTTTGGGGCCTTCTATTTCTGCTAATCAGCAGTCCAATCATTAGATCATTCACACCTGCTATGAACTTATTGCATCTCTGGCAGTGCTGTTCACATTGTATACATATATAATACAGGATACATTTATTGGCCAACTGATTTATCAACCAGTCGATTTCTGGGTGCCGATTTACTTCATTTTGGGGGATCATATTGGCCGATACTTACACATGAAGCTCATTTTATCCCCTAACCTGAACTTTGTCAGCAAAGGGTTAAAAATCAGCCTCTTTCCTCTTCTGCTGCACAGTGAGAAGTTTGACTGACCCACCAGGTAAGGTCTGAGTATTTACAGTTAACAATATTCACCCCACTGTTGCCAACTCAGTAACTTTCTTGCTATATTTAGGAACATTTCAGACAAAAAAAAATGTTTATATCAGCCAAAATCAAAATTGGCAAGTCAGGGTTTTTAATGATCGGTAACCAGGGATCGGCTAGAAAACTGCATTGAGTGCAGCTCTACACACATATTGATGACATTTTTTGATTAAATAAATTTACCTTCAGCATTACTTCAATAGCTGAAAATGTAAATTATATCAGGTGAGTCTTTCTCCCCTGAGTATGTGGACCGGTACCAGAATTCTGTGCCTTTAAATGATTTCAACAGAAGTTTCACCTTACTTAGAAGTTGATGTACAAATAATGTTTGTTTTAGCCACAAAATAATTATGCTGAGCAGCAAACAACCAACCCTAGCATAGAGTTACTCACTGATGTCGCAGCTATGGAGCCTGACGTAAAAACATTTTGCTAGACAATAGCAAACATTGAGATGTTTTAATTATTCTTATCAAACATTATCAAACATGGCGTTTAGAAGCCAAAAAATACCTCAGAAACACACAGAATCAACTCATTTAAAGTTTAAACTCAGTTTCTCACAAACACAAAGACCCTAGCATAAATGTTTGGCTGTTGAACTGGACTGTTCCAAGTCACTATAAAGCAAATTTTCTATTAGCAGCTTTACAAATATTTTACATTATATTACCTGGGCTCATTAAAACAAAACTTTATCTTGGCTTTTTTTTATTCTTCCTCTTTTCTTCCTCCTTGAACGATAAGTCCTTCTTTGAGACATTTTTTTGCTTACTTAACTTCTGATGTGTGCACTGTATGTTGCAGCTCATGTTACTGGTGAAGTATGCGCTACTTATCACAGCCACCAGGGGCCCCCAAGAGCAATTTTTTTTTTCATCAAAAAAATAATTTCTGCATACGTTATCAAATATATATTCTTGTAAAAACAAATCACTTGTTTTAAAAGTGATTTGTATGCTTTTCATATTAAATGGCATACAAATTATTACTAAAAATAGAAAAATCAGCTGCACTGAGGCCCTAAGCGGCTGCTTAGTTTGCGTGTGCCTTGAGCCGGCCCTGGGGGTAGGCTTTGCTTTCATGTCTTCATGATTCAGCGTAATTTGTAAAAAAAAAAAAAAAAAATTGCTGTCTTAGTGGGTCATGCACATTACGCAAGAGTATGACCACATGTCTAACGCACATCGTGTTTGTCGCACAAAACCAGACCACACAAATACAGGCCACATGTATCAATTGGAATGTATGTGGAATTGAATTGAAGCCATCTTATTTTGTATAATGCCTTGAGATGACACCTTCTATAAACTGGACCACATCAATACAACTGGATTATGCTGTGAATAAGAACTGGTTCTCGTTTACAATACAGCCTGGTAAAACCAACATTTTTAAACCAACTTCATAGAGAACAATACAACTTCACGTTTTGCTCTTTGCCCCTGGTCATCAAAGTGCCTGATTAAAACATAATAAGTGACCTGTGTAATGAAGAAGTCCATCCAGGCCAGCAAATTTATGAGTACCAGGCTGAGGATGAACAGGTCATTGACTTCTGGCTGGACTGAACGCAGGAATGTATCCATGGCAGCAAGAGACAGAAACTCCCCAGTACTTCAGGAAGAAAGATGAAAAAAAAAAGTTAAAAAGAAGTGCAGTTACAACATTAAAGAAAGCAGCATAGAAAAAGTAGCATGAAAGACAAAAGACAATTTACAATTGTCTCTTTCACAAATTATAGTAAATTTTGTCCATGCTTAATGTTACCTGTTACCATAGTGATAGATACCCTCTGGCATCTTAAGTATGTAAGAAGGGCTCTGTGTCACACCAATATCTAAGAGGGTGCTCCGGTTGTCCCAGTGATGTACATCCACAAAAATAAACTTGATTCTGCCAGTGAACTTAACAGACAGTGAGGAGAAGAAGGCAGGAGGTTGGGCCAGATGGGTGAACAGAAACATCTTGATTGGATGAGCTGGGTCAGCGTGCCACTCCTCAACTAGTTGGGCAGACTGACGTACAGTTTTGATTCGACGAGCCAGGTGGGAGGTCATCCACCGAAAGATGTGTTCAGTTTCAATGTACTGTCCAACATATTCTTTTAGCATCACTTTACCCTTTGAAGCTGAAGTTTGAGGAGCAGACATGATGACCATTGAGCGTTGCCAACCACGTTTCATACATGACCTAGTGGAAAGAAGAGAACCAAGATGTCAAATGAGTTTTTTTCCATTTTACTGACAGTGAATGCATTTTGGAGATGAACATAATCAGAATCACATTCATTAGTAAACAAGTCCATAAGCTAGGAAATTGTTTTGATGTAAAAATAAGTGGCGTTCAGAGAACAGCAGGGGGCGCTGGCATAAAAATGTGGAAAAAGGGGGTGCTGCGATTCTTTTGGGGGCCGTTTGCTTGAAGGTAAACTTTACTTCTTAGGTACACAACAATACCAGTTTAGACTTTGAGCTACTTGCTAAAAAATGAGATGTGTATCAGTAAAACATGAATGGCTGCAACAATTATGATACAACCACTTGTATCCATTGATACATTGATTGATTCTGTTAGCTGTAGAGAGTTTCAGCTAACAGAAATACTAACTCTACAGCTGTTAGCTTCTTGGCGTAATTCCACGCTCCTGCTACTGATAGCTTCACTGCATCAGTTCAGCATTACACCGACTAATGGCCTTCCTATGATTCATTTGTCAGGTGTTTAGTTTTCAAAAATTCTATGTCGTATTGAGAGTTTTTTATGTGTTTTGGCAGTGATGTAGTGTTTTGTGTTTTGATGTTGTTATGGATGCTGCATTTTTCCATGGAAGAGCAACAAAATACTTGGCAATATTGCTGCAGACCGGAGGGAGGGGCATGCTAGTGTTTTTTTTATTTTTTTTTATTTTTCTCTTCACGACAATCTTACAACGTCCTGCAGTGAGTGATGAGTTGAGTATGCCCGATTTTTTAATCAGGCATATTCAACATTGTCTTGGTCCGATGATCGCAGCCTGTGGGGTTTTCCCTGAGTGGGAGCGATAATGCAGCCTGTTGAATGTGACAGGTTGCCAATCAGAAAGTTTATTACTATTGTTAGAGCCATAAATATAAAATATTTCAGTAATTTGTATGATGCTTTGTTTTATTTTATTTTATCACACTTAGATGAGAAGACTATTTGTTCAGACAATTTTTATTGGGAAGTTTAGTTTTATTTTGAAAGGCTTACTTCCTGTTGGGCATATGTTGTAAAAGAAAATTCTATTGACAGATTGCTCAATTAACAGATTATTTAGACACGCCGCAATACAGTGTAAACTCTGTATAGTTGGAAAGAAGGAAAAAGGAATTGTAAACTGTAGCTGTCATTTTTGTATTTGTATAATTTTTACAGATAAGTATTTTTTTGTTAAATTCATAGTTTTCACACGTCCTTTACTCTCAGTGTCTAAGGAATTACACAGATTTTGGATCTGTTGCCATATCAATAAAGTCATTTTTATATGTTTATTATATGTGTTTATGTTTATTCAGTTAAAAATGTTAACTATGAAAAAACATAACTCGCCACCAAATCATAGTGCAGCAAATGGAGCGTCTGCTCCCGCCGCCTTTTATCAAATGCCTTTTCTTTTTGTTTTGTCTTTTATCGCTTAAAATGAGTCCAAAAACTATCAATGCTGCTTCTACATCTTCATCCGTGTATGGTATTCATGTATGGTATGTTGGGGGTTTTACTGGATTTTCTTCTGGAATCAGGATGTTTGTGAGAGGAATTGGTTCGTGTGGTGTGTTGCTCCTGCCTAACCCTAACCTAACCCTAACCCTGAACACACAAACCAATTGAACCTGTTGGGCTTTAAAAAAAAAAAAAAAAAAAAAAAACATACATATGGTCTCTACTGGCGAAGTAGTTTGAAGCTCAATTGCCTCATGAACGAGCCATATCATGCAGAGCGGGCTTGATATGGTGATTTATCACGGTAACCACCTACTGTGATAAATCCATTCTCCTGTCTCTTCTCTGGGCCTTTCCCCTTTGTAAAGAACCTTTCGAAGGACATCTGATCTGTTTCTTACTCATTTGCTGCTTGTGGGCTCAATGTTGGCATGCAAGATATAACCGAGAGAACCCCCTTAAAGGATTTTCAAAATAAAAGATTCTCCAGACTCAAATAATACATCAAATGAAAATATTTAATTATTTCTTGCGCGGTCCAGTACCAATTGGTCCATGGACCGGTACTGGTCTGGGGCCCGGGGGTTGAGGACCACTGATCTTGTGAATTGGAGATCACATGATTTTATGTGCATGGTGTGGCAGTTTGCCACATGCGCTGTTGCTTTGCATTGAGTCAAGAATGTAGGTGTTCGGGGAAATTACACAATCATGCAAAGAATCTGAGCAGGGGACACAAAGTTTTGATATTAACCCTTTCATGCATAGTGGTCTCTACAATGTACAACTATCTAAAAGCCATTTTCTTGAGCTTCTCGTGGATTTTTCTATGTTGTAAACACAGACCACTGAAGTGGACACTAATGCATCATAAAATACACTTATCAACTACTGGCCATCATCTGCAAATGCAAGAAATTATTTTTGTTAAAGCCGCCAGACAAAAAAACTTGCCAACCGACCCTGTCCTTCCTTCTACTGTAGATGACTCTTGCAGGTAAAAAAAAATAAAATATTGGCATCAGATAACCGTTAAACTGCTGATGTATGTGTTGAACAGGGAAAAATGATTGTTTTCTTTTATGGTTAATTATTATTGCTTTATGGTTTGCTTTGCATGTATATTGTTTTTGGGTTGTTGCTTTTCTTTTCCCCTTTGACAATCCAAACACCCTGGACTGAAGGTGGTTGTCTCTGGAGGAGGGGCGCACTAATTGGCCACCCGGACAGGTGTCAGCAGAGGCTGATTAGAGCCAAAATAAAAGGAGCCTGGATGGGAAGAGGAGGGGAGAACTGGTTCTGCAGCCACGGGAACTGACACGCTGTGGGGAGCAGACGGAGCCCGCTTTTCCCGCACAAGCGATCAAGAGTTGGACACACGGCCCAGTACAGAGAATCAGGGCAGAGGTTGTAAGTAAAAGTTCCATTCCGATTGAACCGATCCTGCAGAGTACTGGCAGGGAGGACATCTTTCGACGGAGTTCTGGTGCGGGGATGCTGGCGCTTTCCTGTGTTTTCTTTTAGGTGTACCGGAACGGAAGGGGGCGTAACACACCGAGGAGTGAGCGGCGTTGGAAGTCTTGTGCAGCCGGCTGTGGACAACGAGAGTGTGCGCTGCACATAGGTCACCTCCACGAACACGATAACAAGCGGAGACCAACCTGTGGCCTTCAACTGGTGACTTTTATGGAGCACTGGATTTTATAAAGAAGAACAGCTTTTATTGTGCCACTACTTGTGACCTTTCTATTAAAATACCTTGTACTTGACTGCTTTTTATTAAAATACCTTGTACTTGACTGCTTTCTATTAAAATACCTTGCACCTGACTGCTTTTTATTAAAATACCTTGTACTTGACTGCTTTCTATTAAAATACCTTGTACTTGACTGCTTTCTATTAAAATACCTTGTACTTGACTGCTTTCTATTAAAATACCTTGTACTTGACTGCTTTCTATTAAAATACCTTGTACTGCACTGCTTTTATTAAAATACCTTGTACTTGACTGCTTTCTATTAAAATACCTTGTACTTGACTGCTTTTATTAAAATACCTTGTACTTGACTGCTTTTTATTAAAATACCTTGTACTTGACTGCTTTCTATTAAAATACCTTGCACCTGACTGCTTTTTATTAAAATACCTTGTACTTGACTGCTTTCTATTAAAATACCTTGTACTTGACTGCTTTTTATTAAAATACCTTGTACTTGACTGCTTTTATTAAAATACCTTGTACTTGACTGCTTTTTATTAAAATACCTTGTACTTGACTGCTTTCTATTAAAATACCTTGTACTTGACTGCTTTTTATTAAAATACCTTGTACTTGACTGCTTTTTATTAAAATACCTTGCACCTGACTGCTTTCTATTAAAATACCTTGTACTTGACTGCTTTTTATTAAAATACCTTGTACTTGACTGCTTTTTATTAAAATACCTTGCACCTGACTGCTTTCTATTAAAATACCTTGTACTTGACTGCTTTCTATTAAAATACCTTGTACTTGACTGCTTTCTATTAAAATACCTTGTACTTGACTGCTTTTTATTAAAATACCTTGTACTTGACTGCTTTTTATTAAAATACCTTGTACTTGACTGCTTTCTAAAATACCTTGTACTTGACTGCTTTTTATTAAAATACCTTGTACTTGACTGCTTTCTATTAAAATACCTTGTACTTGACTGCTTTTATTAAAATACCTTGTACTTGACTGCTTTCTATTAAAATACCTTGTACTTGACTGCTTTTTATTAAAATACCTTGTACTTGACTGCTTTTTATTAAAATACCTTGCACCTGACTGCTTTCTATTAAAATACCTTGTACTTGACTGCTTTTTATTAAAATACCTTGTACTTGACTGCTTTTTATTAAAATACCTTGCACCTGACTGCTTTCTATTAAAATACCTTGTACTTGACTGCTTTCTATTAAAATACCTTGTACTTGACTGCTTTTTATTCAGGACGTATATCCTAATTTATTGAATAAGACTGTATGGTATTTGCATTTAAGTTTTAGCTTTATTTTTAAGACTAAAAAACAAAAGGTTTTCCAGTAACTGTCGGTATATCAATGTCCGGCCCCACTCGCCCTCATTCCTCTTCATCACAAAGTTACACTCTTGATGCAACGGCACCAACAGCCCTTTTAAACTGCAGCAAACAGAAAGGGACTGGGACGGACCACTGTCAGTCTCATACCTTATTTGGAAATGGGACCATTGCACTTCGGAAGTGAAGGGGGCGCTATTTCCTATATTATCCACAGGAATATGGATAATATTCCTCTGCTTTTCTTTTGAAATCTGTGATATAGCTTCACCTTTAGGAAGGATTTTCACTCTCACCATGTATTTGAACGTTTCTCTTTTATTTACTTCAGGGCAGCTTACAGTTTTTAAACACATTTTGTAGCTTTCGGTGTACTTCTAAATCTGCTCCTTAGTCGCATCTTTTCAACCCTGATACTGCCTCTACTGGCGTGGGTGTGGTAATAACTAATCTAATTACATTACTAAATCAGAATATCACAAAGTCTTTATTATTTAATATTAATTCTGGTATTACTGGAAACCTAAGATATAAATTCCCCCACAAAAGAACATACCTTTTCATTTTCTTAAGGAAGTAGGGAATTCCTACCTAAAGTCAGTGGAGCAGTTGAAGGTTCCAGTTCTGATTCCAAACTGAGACAGCTTCAGCACCATTTTTCCCCAGTTCGTTTGACTGAACACAGCTTCCTGGTCCTGGGCTACAACCTGATGATGGCACAGTGATAATTAACAAATGTACAGACAGTTGTTTAGTGGGAACAAAACCAATAGCGTCCCTACATATTCAAACAAATATTAGTTTTACAACATTTTACACACATTTGTTTGAGTGTTCCCTTTATTTTTTTGAGCAATATATATATATATATATATATATATATATATATATATATATATATATATATATATATATATAATTTGAAAGCACAGAATCAGTGAAGAATGTCATGAATATGTGTGTAGGGCTGCACGGATTTCAGTTTTATGGCTGATCCCTGGTTACCGATCTTTAAAAAGCCTGACCTGCCAATTTTGATTTTGGCTGCTATGATTTTTTTTTTATTTGTTTGAAATGTCTCTCAATGTAGCAAGAAAGTCACTGAGTCGACTTTCTTGCTACTCAGTGAATATTGTTAACTCCAAACGTGCAGACCAGACATGGTGGGCCAGTCTGACAGTCACACTTCTCACTGTAGAGCAGAAGAGATCAGAGACTGATTTTTAAACCTTTGCTGACAAAGGTAAGATTAAGGGATAAGATGGGCTTCACGTGTAAGTATCGGCCAATCACAATCCCCCAAAATGAAGGAAATCGGCACCCAGAAATCAACTGGTTGATAAATCATGTATAATATGTCCCATATTATACATGTACACTACCGTTCAAAAGTTTGGGGTCTCCCCATTCAGTACTGTAGCTTCTGTGAGGAGCTAAACTGTTTTCAGATGTGTGCACATGGTTGCACAAGGGTTTTCTAATCATCAATTAGCCTTCTGAGCCAATGAGCAAACACATTGTGGAGTGATAGTTGCTGGAAATGGGCCTCTATACACCTATGTAGATATTGCACCAAAAAGCAGACATTTTTAGCTAGAATAGTCATTTACCACATTAGCAATGTATAGAGTGTATTTCTTTAAAGTTAGGACTGGTTTAGAGTTATTTTCATTGAAAAGTACAGTGCTTTTAATGACATTTCAATGTGACCCCAAACTTTTCAACGGTAGTGTATATAATGTGAACAGCACTGCCAGAGATGCAATAAGTGTATAGCAGGTGTGTGACATTATCCACATTGTTAGCAGAAATAGAGGCCTCCAAAACCCAAATTCGCTTCGGGCTCCATAGAGGCTTGGGCCGGCCTTGTGTATGTGTAAATATATAATTTTTTTTTTTTTATTACTTTGTGAAGAATCAACAACATGAAGTGAGACACAATCGTGAGGTGTAAAAATTTATTTGATATTTTAAACTTTAAAAAATAAAAAACTGCAAAGTAGGGCATGCAATATTATTCAAGCCCTTAACTTTCAGTGCAGCAAAACTCACCCCAGAAGTTCAGTGAGGATCCCTGAATGTCCTAAATAACTGATGATACCTGTGTATAATCAAGTCCCCATATAAATGCACCTGCTCTGTAATGGTCTCAGGGTTGAGTTTAAAAGCGCAGAGAGCATCATGAAGACCAAGGAACACACCAGGCAGGTCCGAGTTACTGTTGTGGAGAAGTTTAAAACCGGATTTGGATACAAAAATACAATATTTACCACGCTTTAAACATCTCAAGAAGCACTGTGCAAGTGATGATATTGAAATGGAAAGAGTTAGTAATGGGCAGATGAGCCCTCCTTGGGGCTCATTTGCCAAACTGTGTCGACACTGTGTTGCTTTGCCACTTACAGTGACATCTGATGGATTTAGAAAGCCATTGAAGGCAAATTAAATAAAGACGGGAGTGTTAACTGTTTAATCCCCTTCAAGCTGGGCACATTGATGCCTCAGCATTGTGGAAGTGCTCTGGTTATACTAAGACAAAACTTAGGAGCATATCCTACATTTTTCACCTACAATATAAATAAATGAATCCATGTAAACTAAGTAAAATATCCCATGGAAAGGAATTTGAATAACCTGAAAGAAAAATGATCAAAAAGTGGAAATGAGAATGGAATAATTATTTTCCATTATAAGATCAAAATGATCTCATACGGGAGAAAACTTCTTTTTCCTTAGTTGATCCCATGCAGGTAGTCAAATACGACTTATAAACCAACACAAAGCAAAGAACACAAAGTATCTCCATCCAACAAAACCCACAAACGTGTCAACAGTTTCTCCCTCATCAATACAATTTGCAGCAGTCACATCCAAATAACATGGGAACTGCATCGGTCATGTAGTCCTGTGTCAGTGATACAAGCACTGACACAGGGTTTTTATTTGCCCGGTGCAATTGCCGAGGTTTCGGTGTCTGGCCCATCACCAAAAGGAGTATCAGACCACTGCAAATCTACCCAGACCTGGCTGTCCTTCTAAACTTTCATCTCAAACATGAAGAAGACTGATCAGAGATGCGGCTAAGAAGCCCATGATCACTCTGGATGAACTGCAGAGATCTACAGCTAAAGTGAGAGAGTCTGTCCATAGGACAACAATCAATCGTACACTGCACAGATCTGGTCTTTATGGAAGAGTGGCAAGAAGAAAGCCATTTCTCAGAGATATCCATAAAAAGGATAGTTTAAAGTTCGCCATAAGCCATCTGGGAGATACTACACATGTGGAATAAGGTATTCTGGTCAGATGAAACCAAAATTGAACTTTCTGGCCACAATGTAAAACGCTATGTTTGACGTGTGTTCATCACCCTGAACACACCATCCCCACTGTCAAACACGATGGTGGCAGCATCATGATTTGGGCCTGCTCTTCTTCAGCAGGGACAGGAAAGATGGTTAGAATTGATGGGAAGATGGATGGAGCCAAATACAGAACCATTTTGGTCTACAAATCTACAATGGAATGGTAACATTAGAATGGTAAAAAGAAACTCTAGAATGGGGTTTTCAATCAGTGTATGTGCACTGATCATCTGCACACACACAGATCTGATCAGTGCTTTCCTTGTTTGGCCTCTAAGTTCAGGTGGACTGCCTTGTTTTGGTAGTGTCATAATTTATGCATTCTCAGATGATGGCTTAAACAACACTCCATAAGATGTTTGGACATTTTTTATGGCCTAAGCCTGGTTTAAATTTTTCCAAAACTTTATCCTTGAGCCATCTGGTGTGTTCCTGGGACTTCATGATCCCATTCCATGCTGCTTGCTCACCAATATTCTCCGAGCAACTTCTGAGGCTGTCACAGAGCACCTGTATTTGTACCGATTAGATTACACACAGGTGGACTCCATTTTATCATTAGCAGTACTGCTGCAGGCAAGTGGTTGCACTCATAGAAAAGGGGGTTAAATACTTTTGCTCATTGCACTTTTCAGTTTTTTTTATTTGTAAAAATTGTTTTGAAGCAAGTATAATTTTTTACTTCACAATCGTACATGACTTTGTGTTGGTTTTTCACTTGAAATGCCTATGAAATATATTTGCTTGTGTTTATGATGTGACAAAATATGGAAATGTAACAGTTATGAATATTTTTGCACAACACACATTTATATTTTTTTAATTTCAGTCTGAAATATATGAATTTACACATTTTATATTTTTCTCAGTCTGATGACATTTCACAATATGAAATGAGATATCCAAATTACTCTGTATTTAAGTAGCCTTTTTAATCAAATACTTTCTCACTCTGGGTAATTTACTAAATGTTAAAAATATGTTCACATAGTGCAACTCTTACAGTAGTACAGGTTTTGCGTACTGTCCCCACCTCTGTGTATGACTAATTGTTTTTTTTAGTCCAGCTTGCGGACGGAGATTATAAATTATCTTTACAGAGTAACAGATAGTCTAATGGAAGATTACACAAGAGATGCAAGAGTAGAAGGAGTTGAAAGCAGTATTTCAAATAAATTTATTTGATACTGTTACTCTCAGAGCAGGGTATACCTGCTGCTATTTAAAAAAAAATTAAACAGAATTGTTCCCTGCTTTTCCAAGCTAAAAGGACACTAATCATTTTTCTGCATTTTCTATCCAGGACAACATACAAATTCCCAGTTTTACCTGAACCAGCCAAATTCCATCTTTAGTGTCCTCCACCAATTCATAGAAGTGCATCTCCCCACTGAAGGCTGTAGTTGTGCTGGAATCTCCAGCCTCTGTCTGCTCTCTCGCTTTCTTGATTGCTGAATACAGCTCTCCTTGCGTTAATTCTCCTGTGCACAGAATAAAAAACAGTGGAGCCAAGTGCTTGATTGTGACTTGCACAGTGCTTCAAGATATGTCAGACCTGAATTCAGATTCACTATTGGAGATGGTCTTTTTTTAAAAGTCTACTTTCAAAATTCATCCATGGATTTATTTTTGGTCTAACTGATTACTGTACTGTCTTCACAGGTCTGCCTAAAAGTCATTCAGAGAGCTGCAGCTGGACCTGTAAGCAAAGTTTATTGATAGGGCACTTTCCACAGACATAAAATCACAAAGCGCTGTACAACAGAAATCAACCTTAAACCATATAAAACATAAAACCAACATAAGGAACACAATGAAATCAAGAGCTAAAAGCCTGGGAAAATAAATATGTTTTCAGTTGCTTTTTAAAAACAGAGTCAGCAATATGAAGCTGACAAAAATAACCAGGAACCTGGCCATGTAATGCTCTGTATGTCAGCCCAAGAACGTTAAAACAAATTCTAAAATCAAAGGAAAACCTTAATGCAGAATGCCCTGTGAGATAAAGGTGAGCCAGTCCAAAGCGGAGTCAGAAATACCAGCCAGGACCTTTAGCCTGTTTAACAGAATTGGATCGTGAACAATGTCAAAATCATGATCTAATAAAACCAACGCTGAGCATTTTCCCTCATCTGCAGACATCAACAGATCATTGTGGATCTATTTGCTGGAAAACCAAAGTTATTTTAAATCAAGACTAAAACCCCATCCTAGAGTTTCTTTTTACTCTTGTATTTATATTAACTGAAGTATTATTAATTATAGTCTCTAGTGACATTTTTAATTGTTTTACGTAATTAGTCCTTTTTTATGTTTCACTCTTTGTTTATTGTGACTATTCTGACATTTTTCCCTCTTTCTCTGAATGCTGCCAGTCTTAGCCAGGTCTTGTTTGTAAAAGATCTTTTGTTCTCATGAGACAAACCTGGTTAAATAAAGGTTATTAAAATATTATTAATTATGATGTCAAAACCATGCCATCACCAGGGCATCATTCTTCCACATACACAACATTGCCCGTGTCTGTCCTTATTTTCTCTCTCATTTCACAGCTCAAATAATTACCCACCCCTTCATAACTTCAGAACTACAGCAATAGCACCCTTAATAGACTTCTCTGCACACATCTGCAGCATATCGAAAACTAAGCGGCACACCACTCCAGGGACACATCACCTTTGTTCTTAAAAATCTCACCGGCTCCTGGTTCATCTCCAGATACAATACAAAATAAGTAGAACTCATCATATCTCATTGATCTCTTTCACTGTCACTCTGCCATTTGATATCTTCGTTCCTCTAACCCCATAGAGAAGACACATTTTATAATGTTCAAATAAGAGCTCTTCTATAAGTCAATAGAGCAACTCCATTCACAACTCCAGACCTTAAATCATAGGTGTCAAACTCCAGTTTTGGAGTTCAATTGACCTGCAACGTTTAGATGTCCCTCTGCTGCACCACACCTGAATAGAATAATTAGGTCATTAGCAGGACTCTGGAGAACTGATCTACACAAGAAGGAAGTAAATAAGCTGTTTCATCCCAGTGTTTTGTACCTGTGGCACATTTAAAAACTGCAGGACACCTTGAGGACTGGAGTTTGACACCCCGGCCTTAAATGATGAAATTATAGTAATTTGTATATTGCAGTGACATATCACTTTTTTAGGACACCCAAAAACGCTTTACAAAAAAGAGGAGACTGTAGTGGATAGACCAGTTTACACAGGTGGGTTTTGAGTAATAATCTGAAGGTATGTAGGGAATCAAAGTTAGTCCCACCCTGCCTTCCAGTGAGGTGCTGTGGCAGAGAAGGCTCCATCTCCGATGGTACGTGTTTGGTTCTGATGGAGGTTTGAAAGAATATTTAAACAATTTTCAAATAGGCTTTCATAAGTTAACAAGTACAAAAAAATGACTTGAAAATCTCTGGAAATAAAGAATAAATGTTTAATTTTATATTACATGAAAGTAATTATTTCTAACAACAATCGCTCAGTTTCTAAGTCCTACAGAACAAATTACACACAAAAAAATGATAAGTATTTAGATATTTTTCGAAGACACCTTTCATCCATACGTTCCGAGTAAGTTTACCTGATTTTTCCACCAGTTCGCTGACGTCCTTTTTCTCAGCCAGGCCGGTGTATCCCAGTCCTCTGCACTCTAATATGGTTTTCAACTTATTGTAACTCAGAGTCACTGGATCTACAAGCTGTGTGGCGAACATACCAGTCTCATACCACACTACAGTCTCAAAAATTCTAGCAAGAAAAAACATCATCATGAAATACAGGAGTAAAAAGAAAAGTTTTATCCACATTTTGTAGGTGGAGGAAATCGGAGAGGAGATCTAACATTCAGATTTAATTTGAACGGGCTTCAAACACACAATGAGACAAGAAACGATGTAGAAAACTAATTTCTCCGAGTTCTTGACCTTGTTTGCTTTCTCAGGTGACGTTAGAAATGGTCTGACGTTGGCAGCCCACAAATTCAAACGGTACTTAAAACTCAGTTAGCAAATAATGGCCTCAAACGCATTAGGCTAAACAAAAGGCCTGACAGACAGACAGACAGACAGACAGACAGACAGACAGAGATCCAGTCAAGCACTGCAGGGAACAGCAGTGGTCCCGTCAGCTCCCCTTTCAAGGCCTTTCAAAGTATACGGTAAAAATTATTGACACAAAGATCAACAAATCTCAACCATACCCTACCAAAAAGCTGTGACGTATTTGCAAACGTAGATCGTGGACAATCGTAATCTCACGAGACCGAGGCGAATTGTGAAACGTCATCAAAGTTGGCCCAAGTGCTTTTTCTTCTTTTGATTTTAACGGCAGCTTGCATCCATTATTGTTGCACTACTGCCATCTGTTGGATCCTAATACTTATTCCTGAAATTCTCCCAATGAGCCCGGTATTGAAAAAAACAAGAACAAAAAAACAAAAACGAAAAATCTTCATTACTATTTAACTGAGCAACTACATTCTCAAATTTCAATCCCCTATTAAAACCTATAACCCTTTTTAGTCATCTTCTTTGATTCACATATTTCCTAGAGCTAATCAAAATCTTAAAAAGAGTGCCATTCAAAAATGTGACCAGTTCTTATTGTATTTACAACTATCTCCTGCTTTTTCCTCTAATCCTTGCATCAACTGTATTTTGTACCTTTCCATTTATTTTATTATCCCATCTAATCTACTTTCTTCCCACACTATACTTTTGCCTTCAGATTTAGATAACTGAAGGCATATCAATGTCTTCTTTTGTAATACATACAAACACACCTACGTTAATCAAATTTTATGAAATAATTTCATTTTCTTTAAAAATCAAGTAACTATTTGTATGTTTACTCCCCAAATTCTTCCTCAAAATATCTAATGAGTAATTTATGAGATCATTTTTCTTAATACATTCAAATTCTCTCCTCATCTATATCCTCTCTTTCATATTTATGACATTCTAATGTAACATGTTCTATTGATTCATATTTTCTACAGTGACCACATTTGCCAGTAGAATGCTTTTGAATTTTAAAAAGTGTATAATTAATAATTAAGTCCTGTATCCCCAAATCTCAACTTTGTTATCACTCTTTCCTCCTTCCCATTCCTTTCCTTTCTATTTTTTCTTCCTGTTTTTTCTTCATCCCACCCTTTTTGCCATTTTCCACCACTTTTTCTTGAACAATACTCTGCCTCAGATTTACTTGTTTTAACTGTAAAACTAATAGGATGTTGAATTGCCCTCTTTGCCATTTTATCTGCCCTCTCCTTTTCTTCTACTCCAATATGTGCTGGAATCCACACAAATATAACTATCAAACCCATATTTTGTATTCTGAATAATGTATGAAATATTTCTAATAAAATCTCCATTCTACTATTTGATTGACTATATTTCAAACTTAATGTAGAACTTGAATCTGAACAAATGACTGTTTTTAATGGTTTTATGTCTTCTACTCGATGTAAAGCTAATAATATTACCAATATTTCTCCCGTGTATACTGATAATCCGTCTGTAATTTGTTGTCCTATTTTTATATTAAATTGTGGTTCTACAAAAGTACCAGAATAGAAATAGTTTTACGAAACCTATTCCTATTTTCCCAGTAATTTTTGATGCATGTGTATAAATTTGAATGTAATTGATAATAATTGTTTAAATGTACCTTTCTAAATAACTATCTGTGATGAAAGATTATCTTGTTTCTTTTTCATTATTGGCATATCTACTGTTGCTTCTGGTAGAATCCATGGTGGAATTATTGTTTTGGTGTTGTTTGAGTAATTTCTCATTTTAAATTCTTTTCAATTGTCCATCCAAAACCCCAAATTTCTTTATTTTCTTTTTCCCAACATGGGAATCTCCCAAGTTGGATGATTAAAGTTTTTGCTTTGTAAATTTAACCAATAATTTATTTCTAATTTTGTTCTTCTGAAATCTAACAGCATTTTTCCCATTTCTATTTCTATTGCTGTTGATGTGGGTGCTCAACTGTCCGAAATGAAGAATAGTCTACAGTGGGGGCTTGGCCTTGAAAACATCTCACAAGATGTTAGAAATAACACTTTATGTATATAATATCCCTTACCAAAAAATCCCATGAAAGTCACATGTGATAACGTTCACATGTGATAACGTTCACATGTGACTTCCACGTGACTTTCACACAACTTTTTCATGTGAATGATGGGTGAAGGATGCTCAGATTTTGCAGAACTTTTAACCCTTTATTTTGTATAATTGTATTTGATAAAGCATTTTAAACTTTTATTTCACACCAGTTGGTTATTTTTTAGTTAACTATATACTTTACATTATTATCAAATATTTCTATTAACACATAAATATAAGCATCGCTTTGTCTTAAAGTTGAAGTTTATACCTCTGTCATAACTTAACATTTATTTTGCTCTCAGGCACTTAGTTTATGTAAGTGCCTTTAACCCTCAAAAATGG